CCACCCAAGGCTACTGACTAATTTTATCTCTACTACTTCTTCGTCTCCTAATATCTAATTCGAAAATGTGAAAGCATTAAAACTAACACACATTGTTACTAGATTAGATTAAACACTAACTACAAAATATACTCAGAATTTCAATATACTGTCAAACTCCATCGTTAATGTTGTTTGTTTTTCTCTCATTAATATTGTTAATTTATACTACAAAATATACAATAAGATAGATATACATTATTACATTCTTTACAATTTGAGGTAATTAACATAGTATCTTTAAGAATTAATATATGATTTGAAACAACTAAAACATCACAATCAACACAAGCTATTACTGTGTCATAGTAGGCAAGGCACTAATCATAAGATATACTTAGAATATTCCATCAAAGTCCGATTGTTAATGTTGTGTGTTTATCTCTCATTAATTTGTTAATTCATACTACAAAAAATACAATACGGCGGCTGTACATGGTTACCTTATGTTACACTGGATAAAGGGAAACACAAGTATTGATAATAAACATAAATATCTTTAAAATATCTTTAGGGATGATTTATCATTATCAAGAGTAAATACTTATCCTTTACTGGTATTCGTTGAAGATTCAGGTGGATTATGACTCTTGAAGTAAGCTTACCATACTCTTAATTACTAACACCCATCTCCTCTCTATATTTTTATTTTTGTTCGGTTTCTTGTCTGGAGTCTTCCCGAGATTAATAATGCAATCGGCCTGGATCCACCATCGGCGACCGCCGACGATTATTCCGACAGATGGTTTCGCGTGGTTTATTCACTGCGGTTGCTGTAGTATTTATTTGGCATCAAAATCATCCGCTCAAGGTATCCTTTTACTCATTTATCTCTTTTGTCAATCAATTCGGTTTTATCTCAATATTCATATTTTCTGATATTTTTAAAAATTTCAGGTCATAACTTTTACTCGGTTCGGATACACGGGTTATTTTTACTTCTAACTGCCCCATTTCTTGGCCTATTTAATCGGCTTGTAGATTAAACCCTAGATTTCACGATTTTTTGAGCTCTGCAGAGAGGAAGCTACCGGAGAAGGAATTCTGCTGAGGTCGGGCACTTCTGTTCCACGAAGAGGCCAAAAACGATGAACAAACCTGTAAGAAGATATCATAAACACCCTTTCAGCAACCACAACCATATCCTCAACAGATTTTTCATGAGAACCCTAAGAAAAGGCCAAAAGAACTACCTCGGTGATTGCTCAGAGCGGCGGTTTGAGAGAACATAGAAAGAAATGTGTGAGAAGAGGAAGAGAGAGAGACCATCTTCGCAACAATCTCGGTTCCGAGATGAGAGATAGAGCGAGAGAGAAGGGCAAGAGATGAGATGAGATGCTCAATAGATTTGCTTCTGACCCTCTCTGCTCTTGACTAACCTGGTTGGTGAAAAAAGAAAAAGTGGAATGGAGGAGTTAGGTAAAACATGTGGTGGAGAAATGCTTTGATATCCCCCAACTCACTCATCGAATCTCTCCTTTCTCTGCAAAGAGGACGCCTAAGTCAAACAAAAGTCATAGAGCAGAAAAAGCATCCCAACCGACGGGACAGAAGATAAAGAAAGGCAGACAGGGAGGAGATGGGAGCTATGAGTGTGAAACAAGTTAGGCTATCGTTTTTTATTTGATCTCGAAAATGACACAAGACTTAATTAAAAGCTTAAACCTTTGCAAGTGTTGCTCATTTTATTTATGTGCATTTTCAAGCAATATATGTTATAACTTTTACATGATATAAATACTATGTAAATAATGAGAGTATATACCACAAAATTTCACACATCTCCTTGAAGTTTGGGTATGCGGTAACTTGTAGATTGTTAGGTAGTTGGACATATTTGAAAAATAGGGAATGCTACTACAATCCCGCATAATGGATTCGTGTCTAAGCAACCCGAGAAATACGTACACGTCAGGGTTCAGTTTTGACAAGGAGAATGCTGATAACTTAAGGTTCAGTGTTGACAAGAGGATATGATAAATCGAGTGTATTCTTTTGGACCGGAGGTGACAGTCACCAACCTGGTGTTGCCACTTTCATGAACATCTCAACCACTTCACGCATGTATCTTTCGCGGAAGAAGGATTAAGCAAGATTTCTGGTAAAGTGATCGTCCCAATTGGATGTGCAAGAAGTACAAGCTGAGGAAGGTTTCAACTAATATATGAGAGGATCCTTCTTATTCTAGCCAATGGTGTACTTATCAAAGACATGATGACAAAGTTTATGGACTTCTCCACAAGCCATCTAAGGAACACATATTTATGACAGTGGATGGTGTCATTACAACCGCATGTTTTATTTGGAGTTCCATGGCGGCATGACCAATTTATGGACGATTCTCTCACCTTGGATCGCTTCTTTGCTGCCGATGGTGTTTCTATTGGTGTCCGTCTCTTGTACAGGATGTAGCTTGCCTCGGCTTAATTTTCATATATCCGTAGAGTGGTTTTGAGTTAATTATGTCAGGGATAACGAAGAATTATGGTGGGTTATAATTGTATGTAGTGCATTTAATATCTTGTGTGTTGACGTACGTGCTGAAAGTTTTCTTGGAAACCTAAATAATGTTTAATTAGTATGATGATTAATATTATAATGTGTTCCTTTTATACTTTAGCCTATTGAATAATTTTTTGGTCGAGTAGTATACTAAAGTAACTATGTGAGGAGTGAGGACCATAAGAAAAGTGATACGACAACCCCCTTGGGCTAAGAATAGCTTAGCAATAGATTGAAGTCTAATTGTAGCAAGCTAGATTATTCACCATATTGGTGAACGATATGATCATCTTGTTTATGCAATGTTAACCAAACGGCTAAAGATACCGGAAGCTTTGCAGTCTATGTCTGTTTGAGTTATGACCATATTGGTGAATGAGATACTATAGTGTGGGTATGAACCAGACAAGGAACCTTTCATGTCCATGATGCTCCAAGAATTTCAAGCGTCTAAGATGTGTGGTTTACGGACTAAAGTAAGGATATTCATCAGCAGACAAGATTTATAAATTATAATGTGTTTCTTTGATAAAATAGAAACTCTAACGTATGGCGAGATATTTTTGTAATATTCCAAAAATCCAAATGGCATCTTCATAAGGACGATTGATGCTCAAGTACTCGAGGATTTGATAGTGGTGACCAAAATCCCATACTAGCACCCATGAGATGTACATGTAGGGACTCGAATCAGAGGCAGATGTAGAGACTATAATTGTCAACTTCAAATTATTTGTCACCGACTTCATAATTTGCGAAGCCATCTAGAGAATTCAAAAGTGTAGCATTGGAAGGAACCATTAGACATAATGAGTATGCATTGTGAAAATAAACTATAAGATTGTGTGCAATCATCGGTTGTCCTTGGTCTTTACTAATTAAGGACTAAGCATGCAAATAATAAGGTTATTATATATATACTAAATATTTAATAGATAATTTGGTATTTTATATTTTGTTTTATCTTTAAATTATTATTTTTCAATATGTTAATGTGGGTGCCAAACTTCTAAAATTGTGTACCTATTTTGTGCCATAACTTTCAAATGTATCAAGGATTACCAAGACTTTGGAGAAAAACTTAATCAAAGTAAATCTAGTGTCCGATCATATATTTGAAGTAATGGACAGAAACAACACATGATCGATTACCTAAAATACATATTAAGATATATGTGATCAGGAATAATGTGAATAAAAGGAAATACTTCACTGATTGAGTGGCTATGTGGGAGAATAATGTAGCTCCATCTCCGAAAGTACTCATACACAAGTTTTACTTAGTTTGGTAGTTGATAGGAAGCTTAATAGTAAGTTAGAACTTCAATTTATAATTCAGATGGTTTGAACCTCAATTGCTATTGTTCTTTAAAAATAAGATAACTTACTAGAGTGAGAATCTTACAATTGAGACAGTTGTTTAGTTTTTTTTTGTTGTTGTCGTTTTTTATGAATTTGTTTAGGTTTCATGTTTCGAGGAATGAGTGATTTTATCCACCGCATCAAAGAAAAATGAAACATAAATTAGACAAATCTTCTTCATGTCGTTAGCTTAACTCAATACATTAAGTTCAATGTTTCATGAATTAGTGAGTTTTTCAGCTGAATTAAACACCTAAAAAATGGGGAAAATATAATTTAGTAAGTGTTGTTAGATTCTTATTCTTGCCCGCTGCTCATGTGTGATTTTATCCCTACAATATATCTTTAAGTTTTATTTTTAGTAGATAGTGAGTCTGTCATCTAAATTAAGCAGCTAAAAAAAGGAAAGATGAACTAAATCTTTGAGTTCTTGTTATTACCAACTTCTCATGATCGTATGCTACTATTCTACTAAGCTTTTGTGAACGAATGATTTTATCCACTAAATTAAATGCCTAAAAATGAAAATAAAGAAATGTAAACTAGTTAAATATTCTTGGACTCTAAATTTTTTCTGCTCCTCTGCTGGTTTTTTTTTATCTTCCATATTTGCATGTCTTCAGCTTCACCTAATATGTCTTTAAGTTCCATGTCTAGTGACTTAAGCACCAAAAAAGAAAGAAAAACGTAAATATTATTCGATTGTTGCAGCCAGCTTCTTATGAATGTGCTTTCTCGATGATAAAGAATCGTAAGAGTATTTATATTGATTTTGCATTTTCAATTAAAAGATGAGATATCATATTTTTTGCAATTACAAAATCACGTTACTCATTACATGCAGCACTCGTTGGGATACTTTTGGTGAGCTGGTCGAGCAATTAGCCAATTCAAGGTCATGGATGGTGACACAAGGAAACCATGAAAAAGGGAAACCATTCCACTTTTGATGGATGGTTTTGCATCCTTTTACACCAGATGGAAGATACCATATGAAGAGAGTGAATCGAGTTCAAAATCTTTAATATTCTTTCGTAGTTGCAGAAGCTCATATTGTTATGCCTATTTCGTGTGCTGATTTTGATGAACACTCCGATCTGTACCACATGCTGCAGGTTAGCTTTCCTGAACAATAACAGCATACATTTTGTTATTATAATTGTTGTTTCACTCATTCTGGACCTGTAGGCTGAATGGCTTAGGTTGGTCGGAAGAACACACCCTGGCTCATTGTGCTGTTGAATGTTCTACAAAGATATCTGAATTCACAACCTTGCAAGGGGAAAACCATGTCGCAGTAACAACTGCCCCTTGTTTATAATGTATACATAGAAATTTGCATCCCAATCCAAAAATTGTCTTGGATAAACGTACGTATACATCGCTGTAATTCGGCTCATCAGTTACATGAAATGGGAGCAGATCACTGAGTCAGAAACCAGAAGTGCTGTCTTTCAATGTCAACAATCAGAAGGCTCTGCTAAAACAGGTGGAGAGTCATGTCTCTGCTCATTCTCAATCGTTCCCCTCCAGAGTATAATCTGTTCATCCTTGACCAAAATTGGCACACAAGGTACCAAATCCTGCATTGCAAGACATGGGGAAGAAAAACCCTCAGTAAGCAGCAACGAGTTACTTCGCTTAAACAAAACCGTCATAACCTCGTCTCCTAAAAGAAAAGGAACCAGTCTCACCCTAAGCTTTACACCAATCCTTTTGCAGTCACTGGTACCCACATGAGTGCAATCAAGCCTCACAACGTCTTCCGTCGCAAATGCCTCCCTCACCCTATCTGCTACATTCGCGTACACTCCATTCCTGGCTGGAAACATAAACCGAATCAATCAGACATCATCATGAAACCAAATACAGGAAGCACGGAAGCAGATCAACACAAGTCACTCACTCAGCTTCATCAGTGGATGAGCATTCAGGCCTCTGTTCCTCATTTCTTTGGTTTGTTCAAACGTTAGCCCATCCGCGACATTCTTGACCAGTCTCGGGTATATAGGGGGATAAGGCTTCCAGAGCATCAAGGGAACAAGAGGACGGCTCTTGTGATCATAGTTTCTCCCCCGGTACAAAAGCAGGACATTGATGTGGCGGTATATGATCTTCCCACCAGATTTGTCCTATGCCATAGACTAAAAATCACCACAACAATTCTCTGAACATTCCCAGAGGCAGAAAGAAAGCAGAGAGAGAACAACAATATACTTATATACACAACCACTCATGGATTGTTGTAAGTCCTTCGTACCTCGAGGTGGAAGCAGAGATTGCCCATGTCTAGAGTTGGAACTCCCAAGCACTTGATTCTCACGGCTTCAGCTCGCTTCCAATGGTTGTGGATATCATCCAGCATATTATGAGTCACCCCTCCTTTCCCTATACAAGTAGAGGCAAAAAAAAAAAAAAAAAAAAAAAAAAAAAATTCAAAATCAAAATCCCCAATTCTGAGTTCAACAGACTCACAAAAAGCTCTGAACTTTGCAATTGAAAACAGTAACCCTAGAGAAGATTTCTCGCTTTACCCAGATTGATTTGGCGAGAACAATCGCTGTGCCTATACCGTTCGACGAGCTCCTCCAATTCCTCCGCCGTAAGCGGGTCACCCAGCACCCGATTCCTCTCCTCCAGGTACCGCTCCTGATCATCCACATTCAATTCCGCCGGAGCAGCGGTGCCGGTCCATTCCCTGTCAAGCCGACGAGGTCCGAACGGCGAGAACCTCTTCTTTTCTCGATACCCAATTGGCTCCACCGCCGGATTGTACTCGGAGTAAGAGTATCTGAAATCGAAAGGGAGGTCGGATTTCACCGGCAGCTTGGGCCGCTCGGCGGGTATGGTGGTGGTCGTCTTCTTGTCCTGAGACTTGGTTTGCTTCTTCTTTTTGGGTTTGGGTGGTTTCGCGGGTTTGGAGATGACGGAGAATGGCGGGTCATATGGTTCTTCCGATTGAGAGTGAGTGAAGAGAGTAGAGATGTAAGAGTAGGGAGGAGATTTGGTGATTCTGGCGACTCTGTTGGGGAAAGAACGGAGCTTTCCTAGCATTTGGAGCAACAGACGGTAGAGTTCATCGGCTGATTTTCGAGTTTCAGTTTCGAAGAGGAGACAGAGGCAGAGCCTAAAACCTCCGTCTCGAGGAAACGACGGCGTTTCAAGGTCGAGGGTAGTTCTGGAAATTCAAAGACGCGCAGAGGGGGAGCAGTTGACCTGAACGAATTTTCCACGCGCCACCGCCGTGACAGTTAATAACAGCTCTCGCTTCTGTTTTCTGTTGACAATTCCACAATTTGAACAGAGCGCAAAAGCGAAGAAGGGCGGCGATTTCTTCTTCTTCTTCTTCTTCTTCTTCTTCTTCTTCTTCGATCTGGGTACGAGGTTAGACTTCGAATTCTGAGGCGTCTGAAAGAGAAGGGGGAGGAGCGACCGGCGACCGGCGAAAGGGATAAAGAAAAGGGGGGAAATGCACGATTTCTGCTTCACGATCCCGTACGGGCTGATTCTTGTGGCGGGAGGAGTGATGGGGTATCTGAAGAAAGGGAGCGTGGCGTCGTTGGGCGGCGGCGCGGGGACTGGTTTTATACTAATCTTAGCTGGGTATTTGAGCTTGAAAGCTTTCGAGAAGAGAAAGAACAATTACTTCGCTTTAGCCATTGAAACTGGTGCGCGCTTCTATACCGTCTCTTGTTCTGTCTTTTGTTTTTGTTTTTCCACATTGCTTTTGTTGGATTTCATGTTTGGTTTTGTTCTGCTTCCTTGTGTTGGATGGATCCTCGTTATGTTTTGATTTGAGCGAGGTTCTGGGTTTTTAGTAAAAGGGGGTCAAAGAGCAATTCGTTGGGTCTGATTTCTGCTTTCGATCTTCTTGGTTGTGAAGATCTCTGGTGTATTCGTTTTGCTCAATCATTGAGGAAATAGCTTTTGATCTTCTTGAACAAGTTAATTTGCTTACATTTGATGCATGTTGTGAGATCTTCTGTTCTTTGTGGCCAATTACATTGCTTTCACTCATATACAAGATAGATCAGCTACCATGTCTATGATCTCGACCTTGGCGTCGTTTCGAGCTTGGTTGCTCCATGATTAACTGGTCTAGACATCATCTGTTTTTTTTTCCTTCTTCTGTGTGACCGTGTTAGTAGTTTGTTTCTCTCTTGTCTATTGGTGTAGTGAATCAACCTGCACCTTGTTATGTTAGAGAATCAGTATAGAGCTATGATGGTTCTTGCTCTATGGGTTGTTAATAGCATTGAATATCGCGGAGACGAATGTACTTACTGATCAATTTTGGTTTGGACTGATGCAGTATGTGCTGCTGCTTTGACGTTTATCATGGGGCAACGCTACCTGCAAACTTCAAAGATCATGCCTGCTGGTCTTCTTGCTGGTATCAGGTATGATGAATCCTTCAGGATTGCAAATCGTTGGTGTTGGATAACATGTTAAGATCTCTAATTACTTGCATGTATCATTTCATGGCCTCTGTCATCGTAGTGTTAACCGAACAAGAAAATACATAACTACTTCCTGATTTCTTCTCCAAGTTATTCAGAAACTTTAGTAGTGTGAGCATAGAAGCTAGTCTATAGTTGTCGATATTCACAGGATGCTGTAGCTATCTCCTTGTTTTTGAATATTCACATGATACCTTAGCAAGTTTAAGATATTCACGGGATACATAAATAAACCTCGAGTGGGGTATATGAACTGAAGAATTAAGCATGCCATGGAAGGAGTTGTATTAACATAGTGTTGAAGTTCAGGATAAAAGAGGCAGCAGATATAGTATTAGCAATTGTGGATAAGTGTTGAGCCCCAGTTTTGGAATAGATGTGCAGATTTTGCCAAGTAAACTATTGAAGATCATCAATTTGTTTAGTCTGATCACTGCATCATTGTGGAGTTCTTGTGGCACTTGACTTCCGTAGCTGTCATTGATTATCTCTGTAAAATGAGATATTAGGAAACTTGTTAGCACAAACTGTTGTTTCCTCTTTCAATTCAATCCATCCCTTTAGGACAAAAGTTACTGTAAATGTCCAGATTGCTAGTCTTTACAAACCACTCAGGAAAAAGTTGCCTACTAGGTATATAATTAGGGTCCAGTGGTAAAGAAAAATGCCAGCTTATGAATGATGATGAACAAGATGGAATGAAACGATCAAAACAGGCTCCTGCAGTGGCTGCAATAGCTAGAACTGGCCAAGTCCCCTAGCCATTGTGACAACCTCGTAAATGTTTGATTACTCTGCAATGCAAAGCTATGTTGATAGTTTATATATTGAAATATTGTACAAGCCATCTGTGGGATCTGCTAAGTTTATGGCATCACATTTACAATCTTTATGTTTGCTTCCACCTTTGCAGTGGTCTCATGACTGCATTTTATCTCTACAAAGTCGCAACCGGTGGCAACCACATTCCGAGCAAGGCCGAGTAATAGCACGCGTGACATGCTACAACACTAACCTCAAAATACATACCGAGATTTATGAATTTGGCGATAGCTCTGTATTGAAAGCACCCTGCAGCTTCGTTTGACACATCTGTATCATTATCTTATCGTACATGTGCTTTTTATAGACTATTCTCGACGGTATGCTTTGTTTTCACCGGGATTAGACTATTCTCGACGCCCAAACATAAATTATGTTGGTTCCTAACTCTTGTATCACCATAACTTCTGTCACTGTTTTTTATCTTTCCATTTCTCATCATCCTCCCTCCCAACCAGATTATGGAACTGCAAGCAGTGACCAAACTGTCATAGATTCAAACATACAGAATGTCACCAAACTTTTTGTGTCAGTCTTCTGATTGTTTTGAGCAAACAGAAAGTTGCAAGTATTTCCTGAAGAGTAGAGCAAATGACAGATTTTCTTGTTCTCATTCATACTGCCATCACCATCTAAACACAGAGAAAAAACTGTTTCTCTAATTTCATACACCCACGAATTCAAAGGAAAGGATAAATCAAAGTGCTAACAACTTGATTAAGATCACAACTAACTTAAGACCAGGACAGTAGAACATAACATCAGTAACCCCTGACTTTCTCTTTACACAATGATCTGCATATTTACAAGTGACACCAACCCTTCATCTTTCGTGCTCTTTACATTTGTCTTTTCTTTCTGTTCTTTCACTAACAGTACTAGGCAGTCCGCATTTGCCAATTTTACTACTACAAGGACAGACAAACAAGCACAGTCTACGCTGACATTGGCCATGTCATAACTTCCATAGGAAGTGAGAGAGATTGATTACGACCGATTTAGCAATCCTGCGGCCTGAAGTAGTCTGGCGGAAGGGAAGGACACCTCTCGTTCATGTGGGGATAAGGAGCCATGGTATTGTATTCCGGTAATTCCATTCGATACTGCCCCTTGATCTGGCAAAAGGGCAGCTTCACATCATCCCCATCATTGCACCAGGATGGCAAACGGCTTGCATTGCTCTCAAAGAAGTTGAGGGAGTAAGCATCTTTGATCTGCATCATTAAAACAGTAGTTCAAAAATCTTCCACCACTGAATTTCCTTGAAGAACATAAACAAGTCTTTGGCTTCACTGAGCTTTGGATTTAGATAGATGCTTCCAACACAATGTCCCTAAGTACTACCATGATTCAAGACCAGGAAATGGATGAAAGTATAACTAACCGTGAACTCGGTGACTTGTATATCACTAGAGTATGGATCAAAGAGTCCTGCTTCTTTGTACATTTCAAGAATGAAAGCCACACAAGATGTAGACTTCCCATCCGAGTACAACCAGTCATCTTGTTCCGGAATTGTTAACAAATCCCCAAAGGATGAACCACGCTTTTCGGACTCTACAATAATGGCTGGTAAATCAAGCCCCTGCATTCGACCATGTATATAGAGATCATAATCCTCAATTACAGGCTTACAGCAACACCATATAAGAAGTTGCAGTTGTGGTGTTCAGATGCCCGTATGATAAGAAGAGAAGAAGAAAGAGAAGCTGAGTCCAAACTAATAAATAGGGAACTGCCACTAACATGGCCAGACAATCAAGCAGGACAAGCTAATAGCGTTGATACCTCAGTTCCAAGTCGCTTGTTCAAGGCTTCATTCCACATGTTTGCAGCATAAGTAGGTTGCATCTGACTCCAAATTGTCATAACAGAAGCTACCTGCAAAAGTATCAGACCCAATAACCATGAAAAATCAACGGTAAACATTTTCCTCTGCTATTTCCAAGATCTAAACGGTGCAATTTAACAAGATTGTCATGCAATTTTAAATTTAATATCACACAATAAAGACCAGACAAGGAGGATAAGACAGTAAATTGTAATGAAGAAAGATTGAGTTAAGAAAAAGGAACCGCGGAACCAAACTGTTTTTCAGATGATAAGGGAGAGTGTTCAAGCAAATGGAAGATAAAATCAGAAACAAATTTTGAAAGTGGGAAGTCTTTTCTTACCAGATGAGCATCAAGTGGAGGTGGAAAGTTGCCATTGATAGTGTCTATCCAACTAAATATCAAGTTATGGTATCCATAAGGTTGGCCATCCATGCTTAATGCATACTCCCAAGCAGCTGTCTCATTGAACTTGGCTCGGATTTCAGGGCGCAAAGGAAGCAAAGCAATATGGGGATTGGAGTCATCTTCATTCAGTTCAAACTCCCACCATTCCTCCCACGGTAATATGGCAACAACATCTTCTCCCTACCAACAAAAGACACACCATCCGCACAGTAATCAAGGATACTCACACCAAACCAAATAAAATGGTCTCCAACTTTTGCTATATGCCAGGCCAAGATCGGTTCCATGGCCAATAAAATAATTTTGGAAACACCATCAGAATGAGTATTAGAAGGAGGTCTGTAAGGTAAGATTCACAGAACTTCTTCTATCACTAGCAAGTTAAAAATGCTCTGGTGGAGGGAATGCTCAACTAGTTCAGAAGTACAAGAATTTTAAAAGGGGAGAAAGAGATAATAGCATTAAAGGCATCCAATTGGACACTGAAATGGCACCATTAGATAGTCGAAGTGCCACTTCCATCAAAAGAAAATTTGAGTATTAGAAATTCAACAATGATTACCTCCTCGTTCTCATGTCCTGATTCACCGACCCATAATTTTCCTTCAGAATCCCTTAAGCAAACAGCAGAGTGTCCAGCATAAGCTCCACTGACCCACTTCTCCAAAGTTTCAAATCCGCCCCACCTCCCACGGATCTTTGATATTGCAAGAAAGTCTCCAGAGTGAATCTCATCAACAGTGATGTTGGTGACCCAGGGCAGAGGACGGGCTTCAAAGTTCGCACCCATGTGCTTCTTAAGGAAAGCAAGATTAGAATTCTCACCCCACTTGGTATTAGTGAATAAGGGGAAGACATCCCATAGGGCACTGAGAGTTCCCAACATCCCTGCTTGCATGAGAAAAATTGAGACCCCCTTGTTTTTCACCTGTTCATACAATGATGAAGAATACATCCATTAATATTATTGAAAAAAAAAAACAGTACATTTGGTACCATAACCCCCTTCCCTCCTTTTATCTTTCATTTAAGCTAAAAGAATGGAACTTACATACTCATACTCCGCTCTTCCTTCCCACTCTTCGAATTCCAGAGTATGCTCCCGAGAAACAAAATAGTAATCCCAAGTTACGCGATATGGAGTGGCGAAGAGATAAAGATCCATGCATGTCCAGCTATGAGCTTTACTGATCTGCATAGGTCACTCAACCAAATAACAAGTTCATAAAGACTTCAAATTGAATTGGTTTTCAATACAGCTCAAAAGATTAGAAATTGAGGATGATACTGCCAAAAGAGATCCTGGAACCAATCCTCCTCTAAAACATTACAATCAGTCAAGTATCATGCAGCCATGGCAAAGGTACACAACATATAATCAGGACAACAAACACCAAAGAAACCTACAGGTAGACTGAACCAGGGTAACAAATCGAAATAGTAAATCAGCCAAAATTATGGAGAGCAACTCTGGCAAGTAAGAATAACTTCATCACATCACGACCTGGCCAGATTAACACTGCAGAAGCTTCATTTCAAATCCAAAGTACCCAGGCTAGACTAATTAGCAATTAATGGTAGTTCACCTAAAGAGAAAAATATACAAAATCCCTAATGATTACTTTGCGCCAATCTATTACACCCAGTCGATTCAAGACAACATTAGAATCAGGAACAAGCAAATAAGAGGCTGGCAAAAATAATTTACCCAAAAGACAAGTTTTAGAGCAGAAGAATCACACCTTAAGGTGAAGGGTACCGCCGCCGAATTGGCTCCCAGTCTTATTGTGGAACTCCATCCAAGCCTCGTTCTCGTAAAAGCACGCGCCTTTCCACACCGCGGTGTTTTCTGGAGAAGAGGCAGCCCCCACAAACGTCGGGAGAAGATCCACCGCCCCATTGAGATAATCAAGGACCGGCCAGGAAACTTCCTTGGGTAACAGCGGCAGCACGTCCCGTGGGTGAAACGGGGTTTTTATAGCTTGAGTGGCGCAAACGAGGAACAAGAAGAATTGGGCTACGAAGATTGAGTAGGAGGAGGAGGAGGGTTTCGTGGAGGGAAATGACTCCATGGTTGAGAACGGGAAGTGGGTTCCTCGAAGCAAAGAGACCTGGATAAAGGAACAAACTAATCTAAAACTTTTTCTACCCTTTTCCCCAGTTATCGTTATGATAAGGTTTGCCCTTCCTTTTTCAAGGATCACACATGAACAAGAGCTGAGCTTTCAGCATATCTGGCTGGCTTTGTGTGAATGATCGGGATCGGTAATGGTTTTTCTTCTTGGAGCGAGGGATTGATTTGGGGGAGCTTTGGCCGTGGTTGGTGCTTCTCTTGGTTTAGTTTTATCAGATGTCCCCAAATGGAGTTTCATTTGGTTTGGTATATGCCACGTAATTGGGAGAAGATTCTTTCAAAAATCCGCATGTCCTCTGTTTGCTTGTACGGCGTGTCAACCAACCAAATGCATGTGGGACGAGTAGGATACCAGGATGCAAGGTTGTCAACCCGCAGGTTGAACCGGACCCGGTCGAATTAGTGAGTCAAGGGTTAATGGATCAACCGATTTAGCCCGGAAATATAGGAAGAGTCATTATATTGTACTTATCCTGATAAATTATATTAAATCTCATATAACATATGAGTTATAACATATAATATTCCACCAAAATAACATGTGGTACTTAGATCCAACATGTAGTGAAAATTCACATATAGTTATATAACATATATATTCAAATGTTCAACTTAGGATTTCAAAGATTGAGTTAAGCGAAAAGAAAAATCGGAAAATAAGTGCATTTCGCAAACCAAAGAAAAAAATGACACAATTTGACCTCTAACCCGGTACCTTATAGCGGTCGACCAGGCGGGTGCGTGCGGCCGTTTTTCTCATCAGGCCAAGGTCAAAGTGGGTCGACCCGCGGATCAACCCGCGGGTTGACAACCTTGCCAGGATGTCAATGGGTAGGTTCGGGCAGGCCGAGGTTGGATTTGAATTGAATTACGAGTTAGTCGAGTTGCAAATCAATTATGCTACAAGTCGAACGGGTAGTGGGTTAGTTGGGGTTGTCGGTTCAATAGGGTTACTAGGGGTGGCCGTTCGGTTACCGGTTATCAATTAACCGATCGGTTATCCACTAACCGATAACCGAACTTCTGTCGGTTATTGGAGGCTGGACGAAATGGTTTTTTATCTTAAAAGTGGTTTGGTTAACCGATAACCGAGAAATCGAAACCTATCTTGGTCGGTTTTTGGTAGAAGGGGTGGTTATTTCGGTTAATCGATAACCGACCGATCGGTTATCTGTTATAACCGAAATAACCGAACTGTCACCCCTAAGGGTTACGGTCATTCTGATTCATCAGGACCCTTTGAAAACCCTTTGCTTGCCTTACAACAACAACTACTGCATAGTGAGTGGGATGTGGAATCACTTGTTGGACAAGAATAAGGTGTTTGAGGTGTTGCAAATGGTGGTCTACTTTCAGCTTGGGGTAAAACCTAGGTCCTGGAGTGCGACCCCAACTCTGCCTGGACACAAGAGGAGGAGGAGGCTGAGATCACAATCAGACAATCAAATGTTGCACTAGGAAAAAATGAATGAAATGTTTTGGTAGTTGCATAGCTCTACTATATTACCACAGTCCATACATTCTTCTGCATCCTGTATTCATTTGCTTTAAGATAAGCAAAGTTGAAATTGTTTGTACAACATCAACATCATTTTGCATCCAAGCATGGACTGGAAACATGAAACAAAACTGAAATTGACCAGGGAAGATACCACTTCAAATATCAGTCCCCAACTGCAGAGGAGATGGAGGAGACACAGGGGAACCAGTATCTTCGCTTGCGATCCCTGTGGCCGTCGTCGATCATGGCAAGCCCTTCCTGCACCAGTCAATAAGAATCGTGAGTGAACAATTGTATTCTAGTTCTGGAACGCATGACGTGGTAAAAAGCAGCAGGAGCTTCACCTCTAAGAGTGTATCCAAGGCGTCAATGGCTCGACCAGTTGTCCATGATAGGCGCCTTTCCACCTCATCAACAGTTACAAAGCCTTGCGCCTAAGGGGAAAATGTAGATAAATGTGTAAACTTGTGTTCTGGTGGGAATGGTGGCAGTGTTAGGAGGCAGGGGAATAGAAGATGGAACCTGAGCCAATTCCAAAATTTCATTGTGGTCTTTGTTCAGTTCCGTTGGCACAGACCGAACAACTTCTTCTTGCCAACAGATATAACCTCGAAACCACTCCCCATTACCTGAAATATTCAAGCAGTTTTTACTAATAAGAGAATTAGGCAGGCAACAACAAAGACGCAATCCCTGGGAAAGTAATCAGTTAAGCAAATTTCACTGAGACAGGTTGTTGGGAAACAAAATAAGGGTAACTTTTGATTCCTAAATACAAACCTTAAGTTTACTTATAGCACGCAAGCAGTCATCCTCAGTCACAGCTCCGCGATCACCTTTCCTCCTCTGGCGAAGTAGATTGCAGAGCTCAGGCAGGTTTATCAGACCTCCATTATGAGATCTCGTGTTTAAACATATCTCAACAATTTGTACCCCTGTCTTAGCAAAATAGTACAGCCCACATCAGATCCCCATATTTCTAGTTGTTCAACTGCCTAATGACACAATCTGATAACAGAGATTTCTCATCCATGCACTCTTTGGTTCTTGCTCTTTCAATCAAAACAGTAGTTTGCAGAGCACTTCTACTATGCTATATAGTATTGGTGCTTTAATGTACAACTCAAAGTTGTACCATAACATTAAATGTATAAGTTTAGGTTGTACCATAAAGCAATTTGTACCATTATATTATGGTACAACTTTACAACTTGAAATTGTACCATCACATAAAGGTACAAGTTCAAGTTGTACCATAAAAGAATTTGTACAAAAAGTATAGGTACAATCTGAAGTTGTACCATAACGTAAATGTACAATTTTAAGTTGTACCATAAAGGCAAAAACCTATAGCACCAATACTATATAGCATTGTAAAATTTCTCGTAGTTTGCATGGATAAATACAAAAAATCTAAGTTGAAGACTAACCAAGTTCATAATAGAAGTCACCAATTCCCAGCAGCTCTGCCCAGAATCCCTTATTTGAGGCCAACGGATCCACTCCTACTTTAGCACACATCTCATGGAATTGTGCCCGGAATGTTGGGTTCTTGCGAATGTCATTCTGCAATATATCACATTAGATTATGAGCTTCATCGTTTTTTGTGTCTTGCAGAGAAAAATGCATGGGCGACATGGAGGAGATTACACCGAGTCATTAAGGCAACTAAATAGGTATCTGGGAGCTGGTTGGTTCACTATTGCATCAAGGGAGACTTGGAAACAAATGAATGACACTCGCCAAAACTTGAAGCTTTTTATTGCAGAAAGAAACGGAAATGACAAGCTCGCTACAGGTCATACAAATGATGAAAATAATATGACTTGACTATGGCTTCATTGGTGTGTTCTGCTAAGAAGCACTAATTCGAATGAAGCGATTCTGAAGATGAAGATAGTGACAGAGATTCAGCCAAGGTAAAATCTTCCCAAGAAGCAGATACTATCTCAAGAGGATCAAGAGAAGGGACGAATGATTCGCACCAGAACTTAGTATCTAGCAGAGGCAGAGGATGAAAATTGCTTGAACTATAATCTTCATATATAGTGAAGAAATATGAAGAGGTGAGCAGAAGAACAACTTCTAACTACCATGATATGCTAACAGAAGAACAACTCAGTCACCAATTGGGATACACAAAAATCTTTGTACAAAGTGAAGCTTCTTCCACAACCAAGCACAAAATTCTAACCAATAACCTTCAACCATCCACCATTAACAGATCAATATCCTAACTCAGAAAAACCAAAGCTTTAGCAAATGCTGATTGCTCAGAATCCAAAGTCGACTCCTTTGCCACCAAAGACAGCAAGATAGACGACGAGTATTAGAGAAAAAGAATAACAATTCTTTTTATTTCTTTGCCCTTTACTCGGCCCTCTCTCTCCCTGTAACCTCTCCACTTCTCCTGTACTTTCTCCACTACCCTTTATTCTCTCAACTGTATCTCCTGTAAAAGTGTATAAAACAGAACACAATAAACAGAAGCAAATCACGTTTGATTGCTTTCTGATTTTCCTCAACAACAAATCCTCTTTCCTAACATGGTATCAGAGCTAGCAACGATCAGCTAGTCGATCCAATTTTTTCAATCCTTCTCGCGTCTCCTTTCCTTTGTGAGACACTCTGTTTTTTTTTTCTCCTCTCGAAAACATGTCTGGTGAGTCCGACGTAAGTGACAGCACCATGTCTTCCGCTGTCCCCGCCATTGTAACGTTCAATCCTGCTGCTCAACTCCCATTGAAGCTGACTCCGTCCAATTTCGCCTCTTGGCGCTCCCAGCTCGAAACGCTGCTCCTCGGTCTGGATCTCTTCGGCTACATCGACGGCACCACCGTCGCACCAGATCGCACCATAACAGAGGCTGATGTCGTCAAACCCAATCCAGCCTTTCAGCTTTGGTTCCGTCAAGACAAGTTGATCCTTCACGCTCTGCGATGCTCGATCTCGGAAGGGATCTATTCCTTTGTTTCCGGTGCCTCCACTTCTCGCGCTGCCTGGCTGATCCTGGAGAAACTCTACGCCAGCAGTGCGCAGTCCCGGATCATTCATCTCAAAGGGAAACTGGCCAAAACGTCCAAGGGTAATCGTGATATCTTGGCGTTCGTCAATGATTTGAAGAGCACAGCAGCGGAGCTCGCTCTCATTGGAGCTCCTGTCTCCGATCTTGATCTGATTGTCTACTGCCTTCGTGGTCTCGGGGAGGAATATGGAGCCTTTGCTGCTGCGATTCGTGCTAGGGGTCCGGGTCTTGTTCTGGAAGATTTGGTGGATTCCCTAGTCGAGTATGAATCTGACCTTAAAGAACAAACCAAAAACTCAGTCCCTACGGCGTTTTTTTCCCAGGGGCAGAGGTCTTCAAGCGGCGGCGGCACCTCATCTTTCGGCCGCCAGCAGCGCGGGTCTCCGCGCGGGTCGTCTTCTTCACGGGCTTATTTGCCCCAAGCCCATCATGATCCTCCACGGGCCTCCAGCCCCCAGGCCCGCCTTTTCTCTTCTAATGGGCCGGCTTCGCCCACCAGCCCCAATCCACGCAGGTCCACGATTGTATGCCAATTTTGTGACCGCCCTGGTCACTCTGTTCGTCAGTGCTTCAAATTGTTTCCCCAGGAACGACAGGCCTATCAAGCTCGACAATCTCAAGCACATCATACCACCACTCGTGCTCCGCCTTCTGCCCCCTGGTTGCTAGATTCTGCGGCCTCTCATCATGTCACCCCGGATCTCGGCAGTTTATCTCTTTATTCAGACTATAATGGTCCTGATGAAATTCTCGTCGGTGATGGCACAGGTTTGAAAATCACACATATTGGGTCCTCCCTGCTCCAGAATTGTGCTTTACAATTAAATGATGTGCTTTGTGCTCCTGCGATAAAACGTAAACTTATCTCTGTCGCCAAACTTTGCCGTACTAATCCCATTTCGGTGGAATTCTTTGCTGATTGTTTTGTTGTGAAGGATCTGCCCACGGGGGCGCCTCTGCTGAAAGGAGCAAATAATGGGGATGTCTATGAGCTGCCGCATGAAATGGATACTGTCCGCCTCGCCCTTGTCACCACTCGCACCTCCTCTGCTTCATGGCATGCTCGCCTCGGTCATCCTTCCTCTCACTCTCTCTCCAGTCTTCTTCGCATACATTCCTTACCAGTAGCTTCCTCTCCTGTCAGTAGTCATTGCGATTCATGTCTTTCCAATAAGAGTCACAAACTCCCTTTTGGTGTCTCATCTTTATCCAGCACTAGACCATTTGATTTATTGTATACGGATGTTTGGGGGCCTGCTCCTGTGACTTCGATTGATGATTTTCGTTATTACTTAATTATCGTTGATCATTTTTCCCGCTATACATGGTATTATCCGTTAAAACGTAAATCTGATGTGCTTGCTGTGTTTCTTGCCTTTCGTTCGATGGTTGAAAATTATTTTTCCACCACCATTCGTCGTCTTTATTCTGATGGTGGTGGAGAATTCAAGAAATTGAGCTCCACACTTCTTGCTCATGGGATCAGTCATCTCCTTACCCCTCCTCATACACCTGAACATAACGGTCTGGCTGAACGAAAACACCGCCACCTTGTCGAAACTGGTATCACTCTCCTACATCATGCTCGTTTACCTACTCTCTTTTGGTCGTATGCCTTTTCTACTGCTGTCTACCTCATAAATCGTTTGCCTTCTTCTGCATTACGTGGCCAAATTCCTTACACTGTTCTCTTTAACATTGTGCCCAACTATCACAAACTTCGCATATTTGGCTGTCTGTGCTATCCCTGGTTACGACCCTACTCCTCCCACAAACTTGATCCTCGCTCACGTCCATGCTTGTTTCTTGGTTACTGTCCTCAGAGGAGTGCGTACAAATGTTTTGATCCTCACTCCAATCGTGTTTTTCTATCCCGTCACGTTCACTTTGTTGAAAATTCGTACCCTGGTTATTTGTCTAACCCCCCTGCAGCTCCTTCTCTCGTGGAATCATGGATCACTGATTCTGGACCCTCCATTTCTACCATCCCATTTCATGCGGCGTCTCCACCCACTCCTCAGGTACAGGCCTCCCCTGGCGTGGACTCTTTGCACTCAACATCACTGCCTGGGCCGCCCCAGCCATCCGGCCCGCCCCAGCCATACGGCCTGTCCTCCTGCCCTGGGCCCCCGCCCTCCCCCTCTGGCCCAATGCCAGTCATCCGCTCCCTTCCTGGGACCCAGCCGACCGGCCCTGCCTCCTGCCACGGGCTCCCGGCCTCCTCAGACTCTGGCCCATTGCCAGCTGCCGTTTCCTTCCCTGGGCCGCCCCAGCTGTCAGGCCCTGAATCTTGCCCCGGGCCCCCGACCTCTTCTTCCTCCGACCCGGTACCAGCAGCCGGCTCCCTGCCTGGCCCATCTTCATGTCTTGGGCCCCCGCCCTCCTCTGGCCCCTTGCCAGGCCCTGCTGGACCTGCTCGTCCGGCCCAGTTCGCAGCTCCTACCTCCCCTGAGCCCACTGCTCAGCGCGCCCTGGCTCCGCCCCCTGTCCTGCGCTCCCATCCAATGCGCACACGGGCTCAGTTGGGCATTCACAGGCCCAAGCGCCTCTTTCCGGCCCTTCTTACATCCCGGACGCCGCCTCTTGAGCCTCGTTCAATCAAAGAGGCTATGCAGTATGCTGAATGGGACTCCGCCCTGCGCCACGAGCACAGTGCTCTCATTCGGAATCACACTTGGGATCTTGTTCCTCGCCAACCTCACTACAACGTTCTGGGCAACAAGTGGGTTTATCGGATTAAGCATCACACTGATGGCTCCATCAATCTCTTCAAATGCCGCCTTGTTGCGAAGGGTTTTCATCAACGACCCGGTGTGGATTTTACGGATACCTACAGCCCGGTTGTCAAACCCGTGACTGTCCGCACGGTTTTCACCATTGCTCTCTCTCAGGGTTGGTCCATTAAGCAGTTTGATGTCAACAATGCCTTTCTCCAAGGCCCTCTTGATGATGAAGTCTACATGGTTCAGCCTCCTGGCTTTGTCGATCCGTTGCATCCACATCACGTCTGCCGTCTTCGTCGTGCTATCTATGGCTTACGTCAAGCCCCCCGGGCCTGGTACACTGCTCTCAGTTCTTTTCTCATTGAGTTTGGCTTTCGGAAGACTGAGTCTGATGCGTCCCTATTCGTCTATCATCGTTCGGGCGTTACTCTCTATTTCTTGGTCTATGTTGACGATCTATTGCTCACCGGGAATGACACTGCCACTCTTACAGCCTTCCAGTCCGCTCTTGCTCACCGGTTTTCCCTCAAAGCTCTGGGTGATGTGAATTACTTTCTGGGGATCGAGGTTATACCGACCACGACGGGCTTTATTCTCTCTCAGCACAAGTATATGACTGACATTCTTGCCCGCTTTCATATGTTGGACGCTGCTGCTGTCTCCACACCACTAGCCTCCTCTGTCTCCTTGTCTCTTAATGATGGCACTTCTCCCACAGATTCCACGCGATTTCGGCAAGTCTTAGGTGCTCTTCAGTACCTCGTCTACACTCGCCCTGACATCGCCTTCTCCGTCAACAAGCTCTCCCAGTACATGCACTCTCCATCTTCTCATCATTGGCAGTGTCTTAAACGGCTACTTCGCTACGTCTGTGGTACTATCTCCTATGGCTTGGCCATCCGGCGGTCATCTCTTCCTATGCGCGTCACTGCCTTCGCCGACTCTGACTGGGCCGGCAACGTTGATGATCGTACCTCCACCTCCGCCTATCTGGTCTACCTGGGCACCACTCTTATCTCCTGGCGTTCTCAGAAACAACGAACAGTTGCTCGGTCAAGCACAGAAGCTGAATATCGTGCCATTGCTCATGCGACTGCTGAGCTGGAGTGGGTTCGCAATCTCTTACACGAGCTTCATCAACCTCTCACCGAGTCTCCTACGGTTCTCTCCGACAATCTTGGTGCCACCTACTTCAGTGCCAATCCGGTCTTTCACTCTCGCATGAAGCACTTAGCTCTCGACTATCATTTTGTTCGACAACTGGTTCAGTCAGGTCGTCTCAGTGTCCGCTACGTTCCCACTGCCCAGCAACTAGCCGACATGTTGACCAAGCCTCTCCCCGCCTCTCGGTTTCTCCTTCTCCGGTCCAAGATTGGAGTCGTTGACACCTCCTCCATCTTGCGGGGGCGTATTAGAGAAAAAGAATAACAATTCTTTTTATTTCTTTGCCCTTTACTCGGCCCTCTCTCTCCCTGTAACCTCTCCACTTCTCCTGTACTTTCTCCACTACCCTTTATTCTCTCAACTGTATCTCCTGTAAAAGTGTATAAAACAGAACACAATAAACAGAAGCAAATCACGTTTGATTGCTTTCTGATTTTCCTCAACAACAAATCCTCTTTCCTAACAACGAGGAGGGCAGATTCGTTACCTTGTGTTTGCGGGCAAAATCTTCCAGCTGAGAGCGGAAAGTGGCGAGCTGCTCTTTCATAAGGTCGGTTCTTAGCTTGGCCACATTTTCACCCAGGAGCCGATATTGATCCTTCGCATGTTCCCAATTGGGGAGAAAGAAAATTCGAAACATGGACATGACTAAGAACAATTAACTACCGGCACGATGTAAAATGCAAACTGTAAAATCAATCAATGGGGAACAAACCCTAGCATTGGCAGCCGTCTGTAGGCCGCCGATTCCTGGTCGCCGTCTCATTTTCGTTCTCTCGCCAAAGCTTTCCTCGTCGCTGGAAGATTGTTCGCCGGTTCATGTTCTCAATTCTCATAAGCTTTTACATACTAATCTAGATATAAATGACTTTGCAATTATTATTCAAATCATCAGAGTGGCGCAGCGGAAGCGTGGTGGGCCCATAACCCACAGGTCCCTGGATCGAAACCAGGCTCTGATATTTCGATATTTTTAATTTTGTTAATCTACGTCTTTTTTCCAGTTTGCCGCACCAATTTCTTCATAATTTCTATCTGCTACCCAAAAGTTTTACAATTGTTTTCCACGTTTTAGCACCTGAGTCACCGACATAAATCGTCTACCCACCGACGACAGCAGTCAAGGTCTCAAGAGAGGCCAAGTGAGGCGGAGGAATCTCCGTGGGAGCAGCCATGGCGTCACCGACGCCGCAGCAGCAGATTATGATGTCGAGGAAGCTTCTGTTGGCGGCGGTAGTATTTCTTATAGCGGCGGCCTCGTTTCCCGGCGTCGGTGCTTGGACTGGCGAAATCCATGGAAGAGTTGTCTGTGATGTGTGTGGGGATTCCTCCATTGGGCCCGAGGATCACGTCTTGGAAGGTCTGTAACTCCCTTTTCTGCATGGATTCAGGCGGTTCTTGTGGTTGTCGTTGATTCCTGTGGGACTTGGATGAAATTGGATCCTTCGATGCTTCAATTTGGGTAGTTCGATTTTCCAATTTCCAAATCTCCCTGAACTTGAATTAATATCCGACCCAGTTCGTTTTCACCAATACCTGGTTTATTGACAGAGTTGCTTGCAGCTCTGCTCAGCAAAAATTGCTTTCAATCTGTGGTTCTTAAGCTTGGTGTCTACTGAGCTGTTTAACCATGTTTTTTATAAAGTAGATCTCTAATGAGGGAGAGGGGTGCTGTTGTTTGAGGTTCAGTGGGTTCAAAAATCAAACCTTTCACGAGCAAGATTACTACAATGCTGTCATTTTTGTACATTGAAATGTTCCAGAGATGATGAGATTTGAAAGGGTGATCTCATCATTTGTGTGGATCACAGAAGTACTTTCACCACTGTTGTTGAGATTGAGCATTTAGATACACTGGCAAAGCTGGATGCACAAATGTCATTCTCATTCTGAGTTTACATCCCTCAGACTTCTTGTTGTAGATGATTCTATGGAGTAAAGTGATCCCTGATCACCTTTATCTTCCTCTCTCGATCATCCCTTTCAAATCATCATCTTGTTTATTGTTTATTCCTTTGTTCTAAAGTTCCGTTACCATTAATTGAGCCTCTTCTTTGTGTACTTGCACTTGATTGAGATGCTTTCTGGCACTCTCGAAACTGAAGTCTCTTGCAGCATGTCGTCTAAATAGCAAGCAGTTAGAAGGAATTGCAGCATGTCGTCTAAATAGCTGCTTGAAAACCTTGTGCTTGCTACTTGTCATTAATTTGTCTGAAAGAAAGAACAGATTTTGGCCGGCGCTTGGAGAGAATCGTGTACTAGAGTTAGTTGTACCTTCTTCACTGCACTTCCTTCTCACTTGGAGAGCTGCCGCTGATCTGTGAACCTCGTTCTAAAACTGCAGGTGCTGAAGTAGCCGTTCTGTGCATAACAAAGCCAGGAGAAGTAGTCAACTATCAAGCATTCACAAATGCTAAAGGGGTGTACACTGTTGCAGAAACCATGCCTGAAAGCGACCGTTGGGATGCATGCCTGGCAAGACCTATCAGCAGCTTCCATGAACGCTGCAACCAACTTGGTCCTTCTAGCAAAGGGCTGAAGTTCAGTTACAACAAGCCGTCCGGATATTCTCACAGCGTCAGACCGTTTGTGTATCGTCCTTCTAGCGCCCCGACATACTGCCTGTAGATGTTAGCCAACCTCATAAGTCGATATATCACCAGATATTGTATACTGAAAGTAGCTGCAGCCTGCAGAATAAAGCTGAAATTTTGAAGGTTCATTTCTTGATCCGTGCTATGAAGTAGATGTACTTTTACTCTGATAAAATTTGGAGTGTGCTTTTTGAACTCTAGGAAGTGCTGTTGTTTATGCATAAGCAGGAACCAGTCCTGTAGTTAACGGTGGGAATTCGGTTGCGGTTTCACGGTGAAAGCGCTAATCGCACTAAAACTGCGCGGTTAGTGGTTAACCGCAAATCGAAAAAATAGTCTTTTTTTTTTTTTGCTGGTGGCTCGAGCATAAGGTTGGACCAGTTTGGGCACCCAATCCCGGGCAGTTTCAGCGGTCCACATTGCGACCCGCAGAGCAATCGTCTGGAACTCAGATTAGAGTTGGGCTTGGGCGTTTGTTGGGCTCATCTTTTTGAAATGACGTTTTAAAGGAACAGTTGGGCTCAATCCGGGCCCAACTCACTTGCTTTATTCTGAGAACGCAAAACGAGCTGTCGTTTTGCTTGAGTTGGATTGGATTGGACCTTTCTTCTTACGCTCAGAATTTTAGGGATTCGATTACCAAATACGTGTTGCAGAGTTCAAAGCTCACGTGAAAGATTTCAGCTCGGAAAGTTGGGATCTTAGCTCGCTCTATTCCGATCGCCGGCGCCGGATCTCCACCGTAAGTAGCAACCCTCGTTTGCTGTGAACTTCCCACTGTTTGCTTTTTCCATTCTTGTTTTCGGTAGTATCCGCGATTGCTGTATCGCTGCGATCAAGTTCTCCTTTTTTTACCGAATCTGAAGTGATTTTCTCGGTTTAAATCATCAGTTTCTCTTTTTCTTGTATCCATAGACCGTACTATATGCTCGGCTACTTTTTGGATTGGCTCGTATATGTTAAGTGTCAGATATTTGGCGTCGAACAAATATGTCAAGGTTGTTGATTGCTGGCCTGGGTCAACATTGTTTGATGCTATTGAATATGTAAAGGTTCGAGGGAGGACGGGGATGAAGTTAACTTATACTCTGTTGATGACTATGAAATGTGATAAAATTGTCACCAGTTGTGGAACTTCATTAAGCTGAACGTAGTTGATACTTTCAGAATCGAGCATTGATTGTACTTTCCCTTGTCTTGTCTGTAAATACTTGTTCAAAGTAGAACGTTTGAATTCAGTAACTAAGACTATTTGTCCCAACAAAAATCTCGCTACTGTCGTTGTACATATAGGCGAGGTGTAGCACATGGACCATTGTTTTCGGTTTGATAAGCAAACACACAAGCTTATGATTTCGGCTTCTAGAATTCTTAAGACTCTCAGCCACAGGCTTTTGATTTCTCACATTACCATAGTTTTTGTCTTCTCAATTCCCTTTTTGTCTTTCAACAAATCAGGGACCGTTTTGATGTCATTTGTGGAGGCAGATTTTCTTGGATGCAAAAGCATATGCTAGAATAAAGGATAGGTAGAACTAAGATTCCCAACTGAAGTCAATATGCCACTGAAATTGTGATCTGGGAATGAATTTCAATATGAATACAACTGCAATGCATAGATATGTTCATCTATTTAACGAGTCTTGGGCTGTCATCATATGAAGCATGTTGTGTTCCAAGTGGGGGGTAGTTTGACTCTGCTTTTCTTTTGCGGTTGATTGTGTTCAGATTTGGAGACTGTTAAGATGTGGCAGGACGAGCCAAAGTGTATAAAAGATCACAACCGGCGGTTGCTGGCGGAGAAATTTGAGCTGAAGAGAAACCTTTACAAGGCATTTATCAGAGACCCTGAACTTCCAAGCGAACTGCGCGAGAAACTCACTGCTAAACTGTCCAAGCTACCGAGAAATAGCTCCTTCACCCGAATCAGAAACCGATGCGTCTTCTCTGGTCGCCCTCGCGGTGTTTACGAGTTCTTTAGAATGTCTCGTATCGTCTTCCGCACACTGGCAAATCAAGGAATGTTGAATGGTGTGAAAAAGGCTTCTTGGTGAGCAGGTAGAGGCCGGATGGAGAGTGTGCACTTCAACAGTTTGTGCTGTCAGATGTTTTTAGTTTTAGCATGAACAAACTTTGTCACTTCTGTTGGAATAAATTTCGTTTGACTGGGTTTTGTTATGCTGAAACAGATTATGTTGCTTTGGTTCCTAGCCTTTCTCCTTCATTGTTTATCAGTATAGGCTATATTACTTAAAAGAAACATACTGTTTGGTTGGACTTACAGTTCATATTGCTTTCTAAATAGTAAATAAGTAGCGTCAATTTACAACTATACCAACTTGAACTGAACCAAGACGTTGTAATTGCTTCCTATGAAGCAAGAAAGTAGTTTAGAACGTAGGATAATACATGATCGTCAGGATCAATTTTTCTTGCTGATACAAATTTAGGGGTCGTTTGGATGGAGTATTTGTATGAGTTATTTGGGTTCAAATAACTCACAATGAGTTATTTGGACACAAATAACTCGTTTGGCAGCGTTTTATTGAAATGAGATATTTGGACAGTGAGTTATTTACAAATAACTCAAAACGAGTTATTTAAAATAACTTATACACATGTGTTATTTCGAAATAACTCGTTTTATCACTCTGCTTTTACCAAATACCACATGTCAAATACCACATTTGCATGGTTCAACCAAACGAGATACTTTATTTCAATTACCACTGAAATACCACATGAACAATAAATGAGTTATTTGACTCTACAAATACCACATTGATAATTAACCCGTCCAAACGACCCCTTAGTAGACTTTTCATCAAAATGCTGACAAACATCCAACTAAGTTACAACAACAAAAAAAGGTCAACTTTCCTCCTGATTCTTGACAAGCTAGATCTCCAGCTCTACTGCCTTGCAGCCCAAGTAACTGGAGCTGAAAAATAGTGTACTAAGAACTAAGAAGAGTACCCCTGATTACTTGCCAACAACTCTTGCTGCTTTCAACACAGCGAGTTGCTTCTCCAGCCCACTAAGCTGAGTGTCAAGCCGTTTCAGCATCGATCCAAACGTGGAATCACCACCACCCGCTTCGCTGTTTCTGATGCTCAGGTTCACTGCTCCACCAGACAAGCTTACAGTAGACTCATTACTTTGGTTCTCAACTTCAGCAACTGCTGCTGCTGTAACTTCCTTCATCACTTCTTCAAAAGGCTCCATCTTCATCACAGTTTTCATCGTTGCTTCTCTATCTGGACTTACCAAGTCCACCACATCTTTCTCTGCTGAAAAGGAAAGGGATTGCAGTTGACCTGACGAAACATCACTGGATCCTACACCAGGAGTCTGATCTGGTGCTACTGAAAACTGGCAATTCGAGGACTGATCCAAATGATTCTGGTAGCCATGATTCTTCTGTCTACTTTCAGCAGCTGCTTCCCTTTCGATCCCAATCAATGCCGACACAGTTTCAACAGCTCCTCCAATATTCATTGACTGGAGAGACGAACTGGGAGCATCCCCACCATATATTATCTTCTCAGCATGTCCATGCTTGTAGTTAGCTTTCACCAACTGTCCAATTGTCATCATATCTTCCTCCTCATCATCATCACCCCTTCCCACAACCTTAGCTTCTGATACCGGTGATGGATCCAAGACATCAATACGAGAACCATCTTTGGTAACTCTGGTACCATAAGCCCGAGCCCTCACCCGTTTCACAAGGCGGTCGATGTCAGTCAACCCATTGTAACCATCATTCTTTCTCTTTGCATTCTTATATGACATTGCTGAGATTTTCTGACTAAGAAGACCCCTAGAGCCCGAACCATCTGCTGCTGTTTTTAGACCTCTCTTCTCCTCATGCTTCGAAACCTTCTTCGACAAAGTTAACTTCCCACCACCAGCCTTCTTCTCCATCAACTTCTTCGATCCCTTGTCCCGCTTTGACAAACTCAGTAGCTCCCCTCGGCGCAATTCCACAACCGCCTGTTTCCACCATTGATGATAAAGGGTAGTTACATCTGCCTCGAATAGCCGGGACGGGACATACAAGCTTACACCATCTAAATCTCTACTGTAATCACCCCAAGCATCATCAGAGCAATCAGTAGTCTTGTTTGATTCACCCACACAGCCAGGTATGCCTTGATCAAACCCAAACTGCATTGCAACCCTATGAGGATAATACTGCTCTACAGTGTCCATTCCAACAAGAAATGAAGGCCTCAAGCATCGAGCAAAACACACCACATCATCATCGTTGTCCTCATAGCCAGACTTGAGCGTTACCCATCTCTCCTTCTCGCCGTAGAATTTGTGGGGAAATTCCCAATTTCTGACCGGCAGAGTGTACGGACGCCAGATGAAAGTGTCTGCAGCAGAGTCCAACATCATCCTCCTGTCCTGGCCTCTTTTTTCTATCTTCTTGGAACTCCATCGAGCTAATCTGGGTTCGCCGCGGATCAGGTCGTTAGGCTGCGGCTGAACCTGAAGGAATCTCTCCCAAGCCCATACCTGGACTAGCTGAAATGGTGACCAGAGTTTGACAATGGAAGACGAAGAACCTCTTGATTCGTTGACAATTTCTCGCTTCAAAATGCCCAAATCGCGATAAATACTGGCGAGAACAGCAGGTGCCAAAGCAATTCTAATTCCCCTAGCAAGGTGAATAGCTATCGGAAAAGCTTCCCTTCTTATGCAATCGTGAGTATTGGCAAAAACGTACCTGGACAGCCATGCCACCAGAAAAGCTTCGTGCTCGATTAAGCTCTCGCTATCTCTGAATTTCGCTATCCAGTAACCAACTGCTGCCTTTTTAGCCGTCGATCGCGAGATCTCCTTCATCGCCATACTAAGACCCTGTTCCAGCTCTTTCAGCTCCTCTGTCTCTCCAATGGGGCGAAAAACAGGGGACCCTGATACAGAGAACCCCAGAACCGCCATATCCTCCAATGTCACAGTAGCTTCACCCCACGGCAAAACGAATGAGTTGGTCTTCGAGCACCATCTCTCCGCCAATCCGAAAACCAAGTCGTCGTCTCTCCTGATTTCGTGGACCGAGTTCCTCACCGCATAAAAAATGCCGGCTTTCTCCCATGTGGGTTTGTGGGTTGCCGCCATTTTCTCCACCCACAACTTCCAATTTCTTGCTCCGTACCTCCAACCAGCAAAAGAAACGAACGGCCGCGAGGGGGTTATTGAGAGATCGGATGGAGGGGACTCAAAGATCGTTGCTTTGAATGAAGAGATGGAGGGTTTCAGGAAATGGGCTGTCCTCGGCGTAGAGGTTGCTTCACCGTCGACCGGAGAGATCATAATCTCTTCTCTGACTTCGACTATGGAAGGAGACGACGGCTCCGTTGCCATCGGTTCCATTCGCTGCTTGATTTTCTAGGGAGACGGAGCAGAAGCAGCAGGAGATGGTCGGAGTCGGAGAGTGAAAAGAGTGTTGAGTAAGTTTTACAGGTAGAACCCACTTCCCACATTTTCCATTTTTGATTGGTTGATTGAACCGTTTTCCCATGGAGTCCAATGAAAGGAAATAGACGTACTTACCCTTATAAAACACTAACCAATTCGGCCATCGTACTACGTGCTAAAGCCAATTTCGCTATGGTGCATTTGTTATGCATCATTTTTTCAAAATTTTATACACAAACAATATATACATTGTTTTCTTGATATGACATAAAGTGAGAAATTATCCATCAAAATGAATTATAGTCAAATCTCATATTTTAAGTGGGATTGTTAGGTTTTTTTTTTTTTTGTTATAGATCGGGAATGAAATAGATATTACAAGACGCTAGAAAACCAGACGCGACAGTCGACACAATATCGAACTGTCGATGAAAGGGCATTAGAAGCCACTAAGTGGGCAGCCCTATTGTACAACCTCTGCGTAAAAGTACAAATAAAGAAATTAAAAGACACAAACGCCAAACAAATCTCTTTCGAGATCGCTCCACCTGTCGCATGCGCCACATCACGAGATTGAATCATAATGGATGGATGCTTGGATTGTTAGGTTCTTTTGTTCCAACTATATTGGGTAAATTGCAAGAATTGTCATTGGGTTTATTAAACACGTTCATGTTTGGTCACTACTCAGTACAAATATTTAATTTCATTCGTGATCACTAAAATTAGCTCAATAGTTCATGTATGGTCACTCTCCGTTAACTTTTACCGATGTGGCAGACTGACAGTCAACCTTTATAGTTGACCGTTAAATGAGTGACGTGCCTATTAAAAAATTAATAAAAAAATAAAATTTAATCTATAATAAATTCCACCTCACTACACATTCATTAAAAAATAAATTAAAAAAATAATTTCTTCTAATTGGCCGTCTCCTTCTGTTCTCTTCTCCCCTTTTTATTCACCAACTCCCCAACTGGAACTCCCCGGTCGACTAAACTCAGTTGGGGGAAAGGAGGAAGAAATCCTTCAAGAAGTCGACCCCGCCTCCATCTCTTCTCCTTGCGCTTCCTCCAGGCTCATTTGTTCCATCCACTAGTTCATCCATTAATAGCTTCTTCAATTTCATTGTCACGGCTTCTGCTGCGGTGGCGGCGGGCGTTCTATTTTTGTTGTAGTGACGGCGTTAGCAGCGGTAGGGAAATTAGAACGACACAGAGGCGGCGGAGGAGGACGGTTAGGTTGGTTGTTTGGGTGATTATTAAAATTGAATTGAATTTTATTTTGTTTTTAATAGTAATGAAAAATGAGGTGGAAATTGTAAACCTTTAAATTTAATTTTTTATTAATTTTTTAATGGTCACGTCACTTATTTAATGGTCAACTATGAAGGTTGATTGCCACATAAGTAAAAATTAACGGAAACTAACAAAGACCGAGAGTGACCAAACATGAACCATTCAACTAATCATAGTGATCATAAATAGAATTAAATATTTATAGTGACCAAATATGAACATTTTTAGTAAATCCAGGGATCAATGTTGTAGTTTACACCAACTATATTATTGGATTTTTATGTTAAAAACAAAGAAGAAAAATGGCATTTCATTTAAATTCTACATTTTGAGGTGTTTTAACTTTTGTGTGACGCGGTGAGGACCTGATTCCGGGAAAAAAGTACGGTTTTTGCCCAAAGCAGGAGCCATCCAGAATCGGAAAACCTGCACCTTCAGCATGGCTGTACGGACCGTACCCCGAAACAGAAAACCTCCAACTCTGCTCTTTGCTCAAAGGGAAACTCATTCTCTTTCTTCTTCCCGTGAAATCACCCTTCTGTGTGTTTGTTTCTTTCATCCCGGGAGCAGCGAAACAGATCCTCCGCTTTTGTGAAAACGAGCGAAGAACCTTTTGCTTGAACGACGGTCTTCTTACAGTAATGGATGATGAAATTTCACCCCAGGAGGAGGACGCCATTGTTGAGAGCAGAGAAGCTGTAATGGTGTCGCCTGTTGGCAACTCCATTCCAACTTCAAGACCGGGCCATTTCCTCAAACCCAGAATTCTCTCCACCTCCTCGATTGAAGGGCAGGTTCTTCTCAAGCACCCATTGCTCTTCCCTTCATCTCCACCTCTGTTCTGCCGCGGCAAGAAGTGGCCGCTGCAGGTCAGCTTCATGGGTTGGCAAAATCCGAACCCTAAGTGGAAATCATGGGTCGATCACTTGTCCCCGACTTACCAATCCGTGTGGAGACGAGCCGGCATCTACGAAGCAATCATGGGTTCTACTTGCAGCTTCCGCAAGGACGACGGCTTGATCATGGCAATGGCTGAAAATTGGTGCCCCGAGACCAACACGTTCGTGTTTCCATGGGGCGAAGCCACGGTGACGCTTGAGGATGTAATGGTTCTGGGTGGTCTCCCTGTTTCGGGTCACCCATTTTTCGCCTGTTCATGTGAAGAGGGTCGGGGATTGAAGCAGATTGAAGAGAAATTGGTGGAAGTTGCAGGTCGAATACAGAGGAGGAGCTCTACCGATGAGGAATTTCAGAACGAGTGGGTGAGAGTGTTTATGTGCAGCGGGATCGAAATCGAGCACGAAGCTTTTCTCTCGCTATGGCTGGAGAGGTTCGTTCTCAGTGATTCCGAGGGGTCTAATAAAGCTTCAGTTGTCCCTATTGCTGTTCATTTAGCCAGAGCCAAACCTGTGGGGCTTGCTCCAGCAGTTCTGGCAAACATTTATAGAGATATGAGCTTGTTGAAAGCAACGATAGTATCCGCTTCAAAGATGGAGACGTCTGAACCTGATGGTGATGTAATGGCAGTCAACCTTTGGTCATCACTCCATTTGGTCCAGCTGTGGGCTTGGGAGAGATTTCCTAAGCTCCGTCCAACACCCAATCCCATCGAAAATGGTGAACCCAGGTCATTAATGTGGAACAATTTGAGAACCAGGAGAGTTAGGGATTTAAGGCTGGCTTTGGACTCAGCAGGGGATACTTTCAGCTGGCGTCCCTATGCTATTTCACTGAATGGTTGGCAGTTTCCTGATTTCTACAGGGGAAATGGAGAATGGCTGGACATGGAATCTAATGAGAGCTTTCTGCCTTATTCTTTATGCCTGAGGGTATCTGAGCTGGTGGGTCAAGGTTGTGTGGAGCTGTATTTGCCGCATCGTGTTGCTATGCAGTTTGGGATGGATCAAGACATTCCTCTATCGGTCGATCCATCGAATGAATGCCTTGAAATGGTTTGGCTAAATTATACTATGCCATTTGGTAATGCTAAGATTTACATTCCACCTCGGTTATTTGAGCCTGATGTTACTGTTGGGTACTTGAGCTGGTGGAGAGAGCCGATGTTGTCATCAGAAGGCTTGTTTAAGGACATGCCAAATGCAAATGGTCTTACACGACGAAGAAGAACTCCAAGTAAGAGAAGAAAGCTTGCTCATTTGTATTCATCAGGGGATCTGGAGGCTAATGATACTCCACAGGTAGCAGAAGATGTAGTTGTTCCTTCTGGTCTACTTACCGTGTCAAGAGAAGTTAAGGTTGAAAAAGTTGCCGTTGATGATATTCTTGGTCTATCATCTGCAAAAGAAAGCCAGATAGTCCTCCGTAGAATTGTGGAAGTGAAAGCAGAAACTGATTGTGATGATTGCGAGAATCATCCACTTGGTGTTTCACCTGCAAAAGAAAGCCTTATTTTACATCAAGAGGAGTTTCTGGCTACACCAGTAAAACATGCTACTGCTATGGCTGCTTCTGCAGCAAGAGCAAGTTCTTCTGAAGATTCAATGGAAACCAAGCCTGTGATTCCAGCTGATCATTTGAGGTGCGTGGAGAAGATTGGAGGAGATACCTGTGGGGATAAATTGAGGAGCATACCAGAACTAGCAGTACTTGACCAACTTGCAGCACTTGAGAGAGCTCTTGCTGAATTTAAAGCAACACAATGCATCATCAAGGTTGAAAGAGATTAGAGAATTAATAGTAGTACACTAGTACTGTAGTTTGTGGAGTATATGTGAATGCCTGCTTGCTTTCTAGCTTTTTGGTTCCCCTTGCAGGATACTTGATGATCTGTTACTTCATCAGATGAGAACTCATTATCTCGTTAGGTCTTCTTGTTTTTGCACAAACATAGTTGGAACTGAATATTGCTTCAATTACATGAGATGTGTTGTTAGCTTTTCCTCTCCTTGGATCTTATCTATTTATCCTTTCCGCATGCTCTGATGCTCTACTTTGATTGGTATTCATACTTGCAATTGGAAAAGTTCAATCATGTTGCTTCCCAGAATCTACATCTTTGAATTACTGATTTAGTTTCTGCTATGATTACACACATGATAGTGGCTGAGGTTTTTTTTTTTTTTTTTTTTTTTTTTTTTGCTTATGAGGGCAGCTGCAAGTTCATGTTAGCTACTCCAGATTGTCTAAGTTCTGGTTACATGACCAATTTACCATGTTCCAATCTCTAGTATGAATAATGATGATAAGGTTAAGTTCTATCTTATGTAAGATTGTGGGGTTTTCTTAGTATGTTCATCAGGCTTCATGATTCCACCTTTGGATGGGTTTTCTTCAAATTAGTAGTGCCTGCCGGCATTCTTCAGAAATGAATGAATGTAGTCCAGGCTAACAGATGAAGAACGAATATGCTCTTGGAAGATCACAGGTTTGCGGCAATGCCGATGTATTTCTGCTTCCAGAAATAGCTGATATAAATATCATCACTGACAACTATCACTCGCAGGACTATGACAAGTTCGACGGTGGGGAATGGCTGTAGATTAAAACAAGACAAGAACAAACCAGAAAACTCATCCGAGGGGAGATCATCCCTGTGGAACAGCGACAGCCAGGAAACATGACAAAAAATTGGATTTATCAGATGGTTATGGCTTCAGGATTCTGGTGATTGCGCCAGGTAAGAGGAAGAAGAAAAAACCCAACAACATGCTTCATTAGCCACCATCTCTGTCTGTTAAGTTTAACCAACCCTCAAAAACAGCATAGATAATGAGACACTTTTTTGTTTTTCTGGTAGGCTGAGAAAAAATTTAGCGAAAATTATGAAAACGATAAAAAGGTGACGACTGTCTGTTTTGCTATAATTGGCAAATTGACCAAGTCATTTCTCGCCTTCTTCTTTTTCTTCCCTTTGGTCTATGTTTTTTCTACAGGATAATGAAATATGATACAGGGAAGAGTTAATTGTGTTTTTCTGAGAAACCGGTAGCAAAAAGTTTTTGGTTTCTCCAAAGGGGCCAAGGTGATCAGCACTAGCTTAGCAGATCATCTTCCCCGCCCTTTTTCGCATATCTTTTCGGGAACTGGCATTTCTTTTTGCCAAATCTCCAGTTTCTGAATGCCTGCAGGCGGCCAACGCCTCATGCTTCTGATCCAGGGTTCCCAGGGTGACCACAGGGACACCCTTCTTTGACATTCACAAATTTATATATCTGCGCAGCAGCACATTCAGCCTCGTAACTTTATCTTGGGATGCTGAAGATCAGAGCCAAAAAGGTTGTCAAGATGAGTTGCTTTTCATGTTGTTCAGGGGAGAAACTAAGCAGAAAGTCATTGAAGAGGAGTATTAAGAATTACAAGGACACGAAAACTTTAGCATCATTTGCCAACCTCTCCTTCAAAAGTGGTATGCTTTCATGTCCTTTCTATATTCTCTTTTCTCAGGACAGGTTTTCATGAAACTCAGGATGATTTGATGAAGATGGCTCTGGTTCTTCCTTCATGCATTCGCTTTGGACATACCGTTGTGTTTCAGAAGGCAGCCAGACAGAAAAATTATAGGATTGTCTTCCCAAATTCTACAAATTTTGGTTTCTTCTTCAAATGCAGGCTCCTTGAGACTCTTGTTCTCTTCAAGATTCCTGGTTTTATGAGTTTTAACATAATGAAAATTGAAATTCTGCTTCTCTTTTTTTTTTTTGGTGGAATCACCAAAAAATGCTGGCAAACCTGAACCTTCCATGATAAGCAGGAGTGTTTCTTGACCTGATTTATCATGTTTGTATGAATTTAGCATTTACCTGTAGTTTTCACTTCTCAGATAGCAGCAGGAAAAGGTACATAACAGAAGAAATAAAGAAAGTTGGAAAAGGACATATATCTGCAAAGATATTCGCATTCCGGGAATTGACGGTAGCAACTCAAAACTTCAACCTTGAAAATATGATCGGGGAAGGAGGTTTTGGGAGGGTGTACAAGGGCCAACTTGAAGATAAGGTAGTAGTACTTCCACCATCATCCTTTGTTTCAGGAGGCTTTCTATGGCCACCACTTCTCTAAGCAGAAAAATATTATTGTTTCTGATAAATGTTTCATGTTCCATTTGTTCAGGTTGTTGCGGTTAAGCAACTTGACAGAAATGGGTTTCAAGGGAACAGGGAATTCCTGGTGGAGGTTTTAATGTTGAGCCTTCTTCACCACTCTAACCTTGTGAACTTAATTGGATATTGTGCTGATGGTGACCAAAGAATCCTGGTCTATGAGTACTTGGCCAATGGCTCCCTGGAAGATCACCTTCTTGGTATGTTTACTTGAAATAACTAACCACAGATAAAATAATATGCTCCTGTCTGTGTACCTTCAGATGAAATAAAGCACTTTTATATACTTACCTTTTTCACAGATTTGCCAGAGGGAAAAGCTCCTTTGGATTGGAATACCAGGATGAAAATTGCTGCTGGTGCAGCAAAAGGGCTAGAATACTTGCATGAAACAGCAGATCCTCCAGTGATATACCGTGATTTCAAAGCATCAAACATATTGTTAGATGCTGAGTTCAACCCAAAGCTGTCAGACTTCGGCCTCGCCAAGCTCGGTCCAACCGGGGACAAGACTCACGTCTCCACCAGGGTGATGGGGACTTATGGCTATTGTGCCCCTGAATATGCATTGACAGGACAACTCACATCCAAATCTGATGTTTACAGCTTTGGCGTTGTGTTCTTGGAGATCATCACAGGGAGGAGGGTCATTGACAATTCAAGACCCACTGAAGAGCAGAACCTTGTGACTTGGGTATGCATAGGTTTCCAGAACTTTTAATGTCTCTTCTATCAGTGTGTCTCGTGTTCCCTCGAAAGAAACAACATTTTCTCCTAACACTCTCTTTCCCTTAAAAAGTAAGCCTCAACCTTCTTCTTCTTTTCTGCAGGCATCGCCATTGCTGAAAGACAGGAAGAAATTTGATTTACTGGCAGACCCATTGCTGGAAGGGAAGTACCACCAAAAGGGTCTTCACCAAGCACTTGCTGTAGCAGCAATGTGTCTCCAGGAGGAAGACACAACCAGGCCGTTGATGAGTGATGTGGTGACTGCTCTGGAGTATCTAGCAACGAACAAAGGTCCGGGTGAAGGAGGTGTACTAGAGGAAAATGAAGAGCGCGAAGACGATCATGATGAAGCTGATAGATAGGCCTGAAAAAGTAACTGGATCAAAACTGGTAGTGAAGCACCTGGAAGAAAACTGAGTGTTTCATAGGGGCCAAAGATTGAAAGGAAAGAATGGGGAATGTTTGTTTGGTTTGTTTTGGTCATCTTGGCACCCTCTAGGCTGGTCGAAGAGTTAAAAACAACAAAGCTTCATATGTACCAAAGGAGAAGCTGTGGTCTGAAGAAATTAGCTGTGGAACTTTGTTGGTACTGTGTGTAAGTTTTGTAGCAAGCAGCAATTGGAGAATTTCCCGTTTATTGAAAAGCTTGAGAGTCTCAGCTGGTGAATCCCTTGATCTTGAACAGACTTGCTCGCTTGGTTGTTCTTATAACATTACACGACATGGTAGCCTGTTGCCTGGTTGCTGTACTGGTTTTACAGCACCAAGCCTACCAATTGGGAATCCTATAGTCCAGGAAAGGTCTTCCTTTTAGAAAATTATTTTAACTTATTTAGAGGAATAACAATTTCGACATAACTAGTTCTTTTTAACATGAACACCAGCATGAAACCCCCAAAATGAGAGTGCAGAGTTTGGAGGAGCAAATCTTAATTGTGGCAAGGCAGTGTACTCTGTGCAACCACATGCTTCAGTTGTTTGAACAACTGAATTTTCTTGGTCATCAACAATTCGACATGTCATTTGTCATTTTGAGATTTGGAAGCCTTGGTTGAAATGGAGCACATAGCGAAACTTGCCCAAATGTCATGTCTGGTAGTCTCGGGCATTTCATTATGTTCTTGCTTGTGTCTCGAGTCGATTTTCATATGTTATTCTAGTTTTTATAATGTTCTTAATATGAGTTAACAAAATCGTTTCTCCATGAAAAAAGGTATTTTGATTGAACTTGGTTTTTGAGGAATTTGATGTCTCATAATCTATATGATCTCATAATTCATACATATATCCAATATTCATTTAGGCGTTGTAGTTTGAGTTTTTTCATTAGAATCGATCAACTTTCCCTCTATAATAATGTCTATCCCGCACTTATGGGGGATTGATTGATAGAGTACAAAACACATAAAAGTTTACGTGCTTGTCAAACAATCCCCTTACTTTGGTATAGCGGTAAATAGACTGGTTATACCACTAAAAATATTATTTTTTAGCGAAATTATCATTTATATGACATACTTTTTGATATGTCAATTCTCATTTGTATACTAAATCATTTCTGTTTAATTGTTAATTTTTATTGGAAGTATAATTTACAAATGAAACTTTAGCTATGTATTTTTATTTTTTAGTAGTATTATCCTAAATATAAATACACATAAGCTCACTTGTTAATTTTTTTGGTCGAAAAAAGAATTGTTATATTTTTTTCCATAGAAAAGGATAGTAATAGGCAGGATATTACATCTGTTTGAAAAGTAAATCGCGACAGTCGATTCTAACCGATCTAACGATGAAAGAGCCTTTGATGCTATGAAATGGGCAACACTATGAGTTCCTAAGAATAAAGTGACAAAAACACTATAAACTTATAAAATGATATAAACTGCCACCGAATGTACACCAAGACCACCAATCGATCATCTGTAGCTCCGACCAAGAAATAAACCGAACAACCAAAAGGACTAAAAAATCGTACCGTACCGGCGGTTCAACCTGAAAAATCTCATACCAGAAGCAAAACCGGCATGCGATATGTAGCGGTATAATACAATTGAACCATTGTTAAACCACGATTTTAACATAAAATATACTACCTGCTACCTCTAACTTTTTCGGTACGGCCTTCAAATTCAATACCGTATTTTAATCTCGCCAAAAAGGCAAAAACCAATATAAACCTATATTCTTCTTAAGAAATGAAGGGTTGGTCAGCGAGAAAAACTAAAAAAAGAAAAGCAATGAAAGGGTTTGTCCGTTAATCCAGGCTTCTGTTTTCTCCTCCAGAGGGTTTTAGACTTTTATTTGTAGCGGCTGCTTCAGCTCCCTCTCTCGCCCCCGCCTCGCCCTTCTCAGTTCTCCCCTCCCTTCTCTCTGTCGTCATGGCGGCAGACTTATCCTCTGCTTCCCTCTCTGTCGCAGACCCACTTGCTCCTCTCCTCACTTAGCTCCGAAGAACATCACCCTCCCGCCATCCCCGCCTTTCTTCTATTTACATCTTTTGCCACTCTGTAAAAGGACGGCTCCTTTATTTGGGCGGCTCCCTCGCTCCTGCGCCGGGATTAAGCTGGGGAAAATTGCTGGAGCTTTTGGAGCTATGGGGATTTCCTCCACCGCCCATATTTCTCCTTTCAGACCTCTTCATGGTCATCCTCCTTATCTCAGGTTTTACAGCCCTTGCCCCTGTCTCTCCACCGCCTCCCCATCTGCTGCCACTGCCACCGCTGCTGCAGCTCCTTATTTGGCCCCTTTCTCCCGCCACAGGTCTCTTTTTCTTCTCTGGTTCATGTTGGTTTGTTTCAGCATTTATATCTGGCGTTTTGATTCCATTGGATGTCCCATGTGCCGACTTAGTGAAATTTATGACTCAGTTGGGCTTGTTGTTGGCGGTGGATTGAAAAATCTGTGCCCCTTTTTTTAGTTTTCTCTAGAACGAGACGTGTATGGTTTAGGGTGGTTCTTTCTGATGCTTACATTTCGTAGACGATGTTGGTAAATGCAGTATGTGGATATTGGGTTGGCACATCTTGTTTGAAGCGTGGTCACTGGGTCTTTCTGAAAAATGCTGGGTTTTAGGCCAATGAATTTTCAGAGTATACTGTGTTCTTGGGTGGTTCTGTGGTTGCCTTACTATTAGTTACTAACTAGAAGATTATCTCCTTATTTCGTATTGCTTTACAGATTCTGGGGAAAGCTTCCTTCAGGGGTAGTGGTTCATCTTCGAAGGAGAGATGAGAAGCGGTATTTGGCTTCAGGGGATTATAGTACTTCTACATGCCTAGAGACCACGACCTCTTACAATGACTCGAGAATGGAATGGACAAAAGAGGGCAAATATTTAAGGGAAATTAGAAGTCGAGTTACCCAGCATAAAAGCGAGCGTCTGCAAGATGGTAGCTCTTACCCTTTTAATGATGAGGAGTATCTAAGAACGGGACTTGAAGCTAGAGTAGAAAGTAAAGGCAGTGACAGTGGAGCCATAGTTGAAGGGAATGGTCCACACACAACTAATAGAAGACCAAATGAATTATCTTTAAAGGATGTGAAAGAGAGAGTAGGAACTAGTGCATCCTTCACAAGTCGTGAAAAATCAAGCACTAGAGCTGTTGGCATTGGTTTTGCTAGTGGTAGGGATTACGATCTGCCGATGATGCTTGAAACAGAGGTAGAAAGTAATGGTGGTATGAATGGAGTAATAGTTGATGCAAATAAAAACAGAAGACCAAATGGTTTATCTTCACTGGCTGTTGATGAAAGAGCAAGAACTAATGGGTCCTTGAAGATGGGTGTGAATGGTACATCAATCGCACTCGAAGAAGCAAATGGTATTTCATCCGTAGATGTAAGCAAGAGTTCAAAACCGTTGATAGTGGATGCGAATGGTCCTGTAACCAGATGGTCAAATAGTTTGTCTTCCACAAATGTTAAAGAGAGAGCAAAAACTAATGGGTCATCAGCAAGGAAGGTGGTACAACCCACCAAAGGTTCAAGTCTCGGTGAAATTAAGAAGGAAGTTGCTACTCAGTTGCCTAACGGAAAAATCGCTGCTGTTGCTATTGCTGATGCTGCTGAGCCTTCAAATGCTAAAGAATGGCAAGCTGATATTCGCAAGAGACTTTCTAGTATCTCTAGTAATGTTCTTGTTGTAGATAATGTCTCCCTGGCAAAAGCAGTTGTCAGTAAGCTTACTGGTCAGTACAGGCACCACGTCCATGCGTGTGATACTGAGGTATATTTATTCTTAAGGGGGAAAAACAGATTATCATTTTCACTTTTGGCGTGAACATATAATGCGGGTCGCCTAAGAAAATTCTATAATGTTGCAAATGCATAAAACCAAGCCAACTGGACTAATTTGATGGAAGTTGAACACTATTCTATTGGAAAAGAAAGCATGCATTGGTGATATTCTCATCAATAAGGTCTCCATCAAAGGCCGAGTTTGAGGGATGAAACGCGAGATTAGACCCTCTGATAGAAGCAACTTTTTGGATGAGGCTACGGAGAGCTTATTATTTAATCCTACAATTACTTATTACTTAAGAGCTGCTTAAATTGCCTTAAAACCTTTGGTTTTTCATTCCTCTTGCAGTACATGTACTTCTCTTGGTCAGTCTCATGAAGAGAACCGGGAAACGTTGAATGGTAGGCAATACCAAAGATGTTAGGGTCTGGGAAATTTACTTGATGCCATTTGATTCCCCAATCTTCAGTATCACTGTATTAGGTTTACTTTGGAGAGAGATATGGTAGTAGCAGTAGACAAGTCTTAGTTTGGGTTTATTCATACTATGGAAATTTAAGGCCACCTATGATTGATTGTTGTCTCATTCTTATGTTTGTTTCAACATAAGATAGTTAAGTTATCTGAAGCTATGTTAATTAGGCGAAATGAGGGCCTTGAGTCTAGTTTGCTCTTTTGTGATCTTCCAGGTTGCCAATATTGATGTGAAGGTGCAAACTCCAATTGATCATGGAGAGTTGATATGTTTCAGTGTATATTCTGGATCCGAGGCGGATTATGGAAATGGAAAATCGTGTATTTGGGTGGATGTACTTGACGGTGGTGGACAGGATATTTTGGCTGAATTTAAAGATTTTTTTGAAGACCAGTCCATTAAGAAGGTCCGTTTCTTTCTACTTTCCACCATTTTCACTTCTTTTGAGCTGTCTATTAATATGTTCATTATGGTATGCTTGGTGTAGAATTTTTTTCTAGCTCTTTGATTTGTTGAATTAACTTCAATGTATATATGTGTGTGAATATTTTTGTGGCCAATAGATTTGGGGAGGGTTGTATTCTTGTATGCCATGTTAGCCAATCTTCGGTCGTTGTCTCTCCCCTCTCCACCCCCTTTTTTGGGGGTGGTAGACATGATTCAAATGACAGTGGGATAGTTATGTAGTAACACCCATTGTTATGAGATTCGAGGTCTGCCTAAGTCTAACCCTCTTCCTTCATGTGTTGTTATCTTTTAATTTCATTGGTGATGATGTCAGTGAGTTCAACATGTGTTGCAGGTTTGGCACAACTATAGTTTTGACAATCATGTGATTGAGAACCATAAAGTTTGTGTTCGTGGTTTCCATGCGGATACGATGCACATGGCTCGGTTGTTCAATTCAGCTAGACGTACGGAGGGTGGATACTCTCTTGAAGCTCTGACAGGTGATGAAAGAGTGATGTCTGGTGCTAAATCATGCTATAAAGAGTTGATTGGTAAGGTGTCAATGAAAACTGTCTTTGGCAAGAAAAAGTTGAAAAAAGATGGATCTGAAGGGAAAACTACAATAATTGCTTCTGTTGAGGAGCTTCAAAGAGAAGACCGGGAGTGCTGGATTTGTTACTCTGCCTTGGATGCAATAAGCACTTTGCAGCTTTATGAAAGCTTGAAAAAACAACTCTCTCAAAGGGAATGGAAATGCTATGGAAGGCCATTTGCTAGTAGAAAGTCCATGTTTGACTTTTACCAGGAATATTGGCGTCCATTTGGCGAGCTGCTAGTTAAAATGGAAACTGAAGGTATGTTGGTTGATCGGCCATATCTTGCAGAAATAGAAAAAGTTGCCAAAGCAGAACAAGAAATCGCTGGTAAAAGATTCAGACATTGGGCTTCTAAGTATTGTCCTGATGCCCAAGATATGAATGTCGGGAGTGACACACAGTTGCGCCAACTATTTTTTGGTGGTGCTGCAAACAGGTAAATGTTATGTTGCTTTTCGAAGGAACCTTGTTCATATTGAAGTTCTCGAGCTGTTTATCTCATTTATTGTTTTGCAAACTTGTAGCCTATTATTGGAAATATAAATTATCATGCAAATAAGAACTAAACAAGCAGTCTAGAAATATGAAATGATAAATTGTGGAAATAAAGACAATAGATAAATATAAAGGGGAGATGAAATTGGCAAAATGTTTGCACTTTTTATTTGGAAGTGTTCTGGGTGCTATGAATTTTAGGTAGGTTTAAGTCTTGTGCTTGACCCAATGATCCTTTATAAGCGACCTGTATCTTTTTCACCAACTAGAATGCCATGGTATTATAGTCATTGATGTCATGTCCGAATGGCTTTATTAGCTTTCTTCCTTGTAGTGAGCCTTGCTATTTGTGACCACTGTTTGCTTGAAGTTTCCTAGTGAATTATTGTGGCCTTCGTGGAACATAAATCTTAGGTCTATCATCCATTGATTGCCAGGGTCTTCCTCCCATTATTTGTAATCTCAAATTAGTGGCAAAGGATGGACTAGTGGCGAATTGCAAACGTTGTTTAGTGATCCGCTATGCTTAAAGAAATGAGTAGGCTTGGACGATGGACCCACTTATTGTAATTTCTACATGAGGCTAAGCAGCTAAATATGCAGCCAATTTTACTTTGTTGCTCTGGCGTAGGAAGGACTGTTCCATTACTCTGCCAGAATCAAGATTGTTCCAAGTTCCAAACGTCGATAAGGTGATCGAAGAAGGAAAGAAGACTGCCACCAAAAATCGTAATATCAAGCTGCATAAAATTGTTGCTAATGATCTGCCCACTGAGATGTACACGGCTAGTGGTTGGCCATCTATGAGTGGTGATGCATTGAAAGCCATGGCTGGGAAGGTTTCTGCAGACAGCTATTTCATGGATGATTTTGTTGACCCACAATCTGATGACGTTATTGGTGAAGCAGAGGATATAACAGAAGATTCAAGTATACTCTCAACTCCCAACGTGGATGTGGACACATCTGCCTATGGAACAGCCTTAAATGCATTTTCAACACGAGAAGAAGGAATAGAGGCATGCCATGCCATTGCTTCTTTATGTGAAGTTTGCTCCATTGATTCTTTGATATCGAACTTCATCCTCCCTTTACAGGTGAGACTCTTTGATGCGGGCCTTCTTCACTTTTTTTTTCTTTTTTCCTTTCTATTTTTCTGAATTCAGATTAAATTGATGTGGTATTGTTGATTGTGTTTCTCCTTGCAAAAATGGAGCAACATAATTCAAATACACCACTGCATAAAAACATCTTTCACTCCTTTCCTACTCTTACATACTATTTGTTCTTTCTGCTGCTCTATTTTCCCCGGCAACAAGCATTTTAACTCCCATGACTTGCTTCAATGTATTAGTTTCTTGTTATTTTGCTCTGACATCCTTTGCATTCCATAGCTTGTCTTGCAATTAAAGTCACATTTTTCTACCTCAGGACAGCAATATATCAGGCAGTAATGGTCGAGTGCATTGTTCCCTGAATATCAATACAGAAACTGGCAGATTATCTGCAAGGAGGCCAAATTTACAAGTACTCTCTCTCTCTCATGCCTGTGCCTTTTACCATAGTCTAGTGTTTTATTCTTGATTTCCCTTTAAATTTTCCTGTTCTTGCACAAGTGAAAGTTCTCTCTATCTCAATGAATCTCTTTGGATAAGTATTGTGAAAAGTAGAGTTTTGAAATCATGGTCTCTTGTCCATCAGAATCAGCCAGCTTTGGAAAAGGACCGGTACAAGATCCGTCAAGCATTTATTGCTGCCCCTGGAAACTCCCTTATTGTTGCTGATTATGGACAGGTATGTAGTTTCAGTTTCTAATTGAACTCAATTTAATGGCAGATGTGGTGATACAAAATGTTGGTTTACAGTTGGAACTTAGGATTCTTGCGCATCTAGCTAGCTGTGAAAGCATGATAAGGGCTTTTGAAGCTGGTGGCGATTTCCACTCAAGGACTGCAATGAATATGTATCCTCATATTCATGAAGCCATTGAAAGGAAGGAAGTGCTTCTGGAGTGGTACTCTCAACCGGGCCAAGAAAAACCACCAGTTCCTTTACTGAAGGTATGTTGAGCACTTGGTGCTTTCTAGTGTTTGTTCGCGTGCCAATTTGGTGGAAGTGTTAATATTCAGAAGGGAATCTGGGTTGCTTTTTCCTCCGCTGATGTTTGTTCTATACAGCAGAATTGTAGTATGTTAGTATTGCAACCGAATAATTTCATCTGTTTTTTAAAGTAGTTGTCTCCCATGAATTTCATGTAGAAATGTCCAAGGAAATTTTTTTTGAGGCTATACATCTTAGACAAGCATTTAGTTTATATGCTCATGGATCTGGTTAGGCAACAGTTCACTGGAGGTTGAGTTGTGAATGCTCCACATCATGCTTGTTGTTGCACGTGGAATGAACCTAACATTTTTCAGTTGTTATTTACTCCGTTAATCTTGGCTATGGTCGTTTATCTTGATCACAAGTTGCAGCTTTCAATAGTGCCAATATATATATATATATTGAAACACCTAGCTTCATACTTGGCTTCCCTTCTTAACTCACAAAACTGGATGCTAAGTTAACGAATATCTTGCATGAAATTTTGTTATAGGATCGGTTTGCTTCAGAAAGAAGGAAAGCTAAGATGCTCAACTTTTCTATTGCATATGGAAAAACTCCGGTGGGGCTAGCACGCGATTGGAAGGTAAGTTGCTTTGAGTTACCTGCCAGAAGACTTAATGGCGTTCTTGGCTCTTGGAATGTTTGGTTGGTGTGATAATTACTTGGTTGTATGTCCTTAGGTCTCTGTGGAGGAAGCAAAGGAAACAGTTGATCTATGGTATAGAGAAAGACAAGAAGTTCTTAAATGGCAAGAAGCTCGTAAACAGGAAGCTAATAGAACAGGATGTGTTCATACACTGCTGGGACGTGCTCGTCATTTCCCTAATATGAAGCATATGAGTCGTGCTCAGAAGAATCATATCGAAAGGGCTGCTATCAACACACCCGTGCAGGTTCACGAACATTCTCATACCCCTTCCTGGACTAGTTGGCTTTTCATATTCCCTCACTTTTCATCCCGATTCCTTTGAATTTGCTGGTGCAGGGTAGTGCTGCTGATGTTGCCATGTGTGCCATGTTAGAAATCACTAGAAATGAACGTTTAAAAGAGCTAGGGTGGAGACTACTGTTACAGGTTTTGTTATCTTCTCTTTAGCATTTTACCCCATCGTGGTTTTTTTCATGGTTGGATGGGTGGAAGAGTACAGGTTCCAACTTCATATTTGCGTGGGGAAATCGATTTCCTTCGAGTCTATAACTTGAGAACTAGAAATCCCACCAAAGGGAGCTGTGTGACAGCTCCATGTTTGCTCTGTTCATGGATTTTCTTAGCAAGGAACTTTTGGAAAGTAACTGTAGGTTGTAAATGCAGGTTCATGATGAAGTCATCTTGGAAGGACCCATGGACTCTGCTGAAGATGCCAAGGCAATCGTTGTTGAGTGCATGTCAAAACCATTCGGGGGCAAGAATGTTCTTAAAGTGGATCTCTCTGTCGATGCGAAGTGTGCCCAAAACTGGTATGCGGCCAAGTAAAGTTTTTGTTGATGGTTTTGTTGCCACCGCAAGTGGGTTTGTCGTGAGGTCCTCAGATAAGACTGCAGTTTCGTCGTAATTAGCTACACCTGCAAGCAAGGGTATTAGGGGGCTGGGTGGCCGCCAGTGCTTATCCTGGCAAGTGGAGAAATGTGTAGCCTTCATTCAGGTGACCAATGTGTTAATCATATTCAGCGGTTCATTGAGGCCTTGTTATCCGTCGGCCTTCCATGTTCCAGAAATGACCTGGGACGTTTTGTTTGCGGCATTAGTGCAAGATGCACCGCGGGTAGTAAGCTGTATCATATGTTATTGAGGATGATGTGGATTATGTACCGTGCCTGTTGTATATAGGCCTTGCCTGATCTAGCCCTATCTCTTCTACCCTATGTTATTGGTCATCGCAAAATGCACCTCGTAAAGTTGTATATAAAGCATGGCTGCTCGACTCTGTGATAACATTTTAAGGTATGTGGATTTGTGAATGTGGAACAGATTCGTGTGTTATTGGATTCATGCATGAGATTAAATGTACGGGTTTATGAACTCTCTGTGAAACAACAGCTGCAACTTGTATGAGCTCTTCAATGGTGTGGTGATAGATTGCATTATTTCTTCTTGGCCATAATTTTGACTGATTTTCGAACTTGTTTTTTTTTTTAAGCTAGTAGGAACATTTAGCAAACCAGAAGGGTAGAATTAATTGGACTGTCAGTAGTAACTTGCAACTGCCCATCCTTTGCTATTCACGATCCTGAAGCTATATATTCATTTCCTTTCAACACTCCAGTCAAAAAGAAAAGGAATGAAAACTACGAAGATACACGGGCAGTCAATCAACAAAAGCTCACAAACAAGCAAGCAAATCAAGCAGGCACAACACTGGATCGTTGTTCACAATCTTAGGCTATAGGGGAGTGGTGTTTGATTTTCTTTTTCACTTGTCAAACTGTTGCAGTTCAATGCCCCAAGCTGCTGCTAACTGCAGCAGAAGTTGGTCAGGACCGATGCCTTCCCAATCCTCGGGCAGATCTATTCCTGTGGAAGCCTCGTGTAAGTTCAACAAAAGCTCCCTCTTCAAATCCATGGGAATCCCCATAACATCTGCTCCATTCTCCATAACTATGTCTACCAACTGAAAAGAACATGCACAGATCCAGTTAAACCAAAATAATCAAAAGTAATTCATTCAATGACAACTGAATTGCACAAAACCGACAGAATTAACAAGGCCATTTCTGTGCAAGAGAGACCAGACCGCAAAAAGATCAAACCAGCGAGGCAAACGGTTTAAAATATAATAGTAATCAGCGCAAAATTCATGATAGACCATACCGGCTTGGTCACGGGTACATGGTTTAAGTGGTTCAACCTGTGACAAACACTGCAATTCTGAAAGAGGAATGAGTGTGTAACAGCTCTCCTTAATGGTAATCTATCATCAAGAAACTCACGTTCAGACATATACCAAGTCTGACAGAAACTGAGGTGCCAGTTAACCCGTTCTATTCTCACCCCTAGCAATAAGCAACCTAGTTGAATGATCACAATACCACTCCCACTTTTACCAACTACAAACTCCCGTTCTTATGACAAAAGTTTTTCCAAAATAGTCATACCGTTAACCCAATAACAGACCGCACCTAAAATCCTGATCTAGGAGATCTCTTTCTTCCCTTATTTTCAAAGATTAGAGGCTTGAAGATATGTAAACTATAGTGCATCAGGAAGTCATGAAGCTCATGACTTAGCTTCCTATTAGTTTTGAGTAATGACGTAGTACACGTACCTGGTGAATCCAAGAGAAACAGAGGTCAAACAAGTTGTGATCCAGCAAGAACTGAGCGATAGCATGAAAGACATCACATGCTGTTTCATCCGTGAGTTGGTCAACCACAGGCCCTGTCATGTCCATAATCTTCACAAGCAACAGATCATCTCCAGTGGAAGTGACTTCAGCATAAGCCGTATCCATGTCACCAACTTTAAGGGCGTCCATTGCATTACTCCATGAAGTCCAAACAGGGTCCCGCTCTTGCTCAACACCGTTGTCATCTCCCATGGCTTCTGCAGTCAATTCAGGAATGACCACCCTGGCAGTCCGTGATAACGGTCCATTGTCTTCCCCAGCAACACGGATGGCTTTCAAAGTAGCTTCATCTTTGGATGCCTGCCAAACACTTCTAGCAGAGGGCCCCTCACCAAGCCGAGAGGGCCCACCACCACCCTTATCCCAACCTCTCCTGCTGCTGCCAACTTGATCATTTTCATGCTCAGATTTTGGTGAGCCTAGAGAACCACCACCACCTGGAGCTCTCCTTGAGCCAACCTGACCATTTCTAGAATTATACGAGGGGAAATCCCAAGTATCAGATGTGTCTGCTCTCCAGTGAGGATTCCTCCCCCTTGCAGCTGAAGAATTAACATCAGATTGCACAAATCTGTCCTCAAATGGAGCCCGGCCATTATACTTCACACTAGAATAATCTGAAAAACCATTGTATTTTCCCAATGATCGATTAGAAGATGAACCCTCAAAAGCCATGGAAAAGTTAGTACCACCTCTCCTAGCAGCAGAGGACATAGACAGATCTCGGGCCATGTCTTCCACAACTCTCTCAAGACCTCGAACTCTGTTTTCCAAGGTCACCATGCTATCATGGGATCCACCCATAAAATCCTGAAAATGTAAAGCAGCAGTTACAGCAAAAATGATGCTATGACAACATAATCTTTTGGTCAAAAGTTCAACATAAATACCTGAAGCATATGCATAAGATGCGTCTGTTGTCTTTCTAGTTGCAGTAACTGCCTCTGAATTGCCAACCAATTCCCTCTACTATTTGCCAAGGATCCTTCCGATTGTCCATCAGTTTTGGAGAGACCTGCAGCGCGATTTCCGACTGTCTCCCCCCTATTGTTGTAATCACTCCGTTCATCATCAAACGCTCGGCTTTTGGGATCTCTCCCCATAATTCCTCTATCATTGGTGCGGTATCTATTATTGAAATACGGCTCATCGGACCTGCTGTTTGCTGAGGGATCTGATCTTCCCTTCTGTTCTGCATTATTTGATACTGGTTCCTCCTCATTGTTTAGATTAGAAGAATTAATGCACCTACGAGGAACAACAACTTCAACAGGCAACTCATCATCACCCCTTGTTTCTAGTTTGTTGAAGAATTCTGGGTTCGGTTTTTCCGTCAGAGCAGGTGCTCTCTTCTTCAATATTACAACTGCCTTATCTGGCATGTTTCCAGATTGGGCCTTTGCAGCAGAACCTGTACCTAGGGGAGAGCCATTAGGTGGATCTATCGCAGAGGACTCTACCCTTCTGTCCCTAGCATTTGGACCTTTTTCTGTAAATTCAGCATTTTCTTGATTTTCACCACCTAATCAGTATTAGCATTTGATGTTTGTCAACAAGCAACCAGAATAGTAGGCGAGTATTATTGGGTTCATTTGCACAAGGAATAACTACAATGTGAAATATTCACCTGGAGAGGAAGCTTTTTGGTCATCTGAAACTCCGTCGCCTCCTTTCCCGGCAATCTTCTTCCACAATTGCAATGCCTCATTCATGCTATCTCTAACAGGTTTTATCTGATAGAAAGAAGAGATTTTCAGTTTACTGTAATTACATTCCAAAAGGTTAAACAAAGATTTCTACTGACAAACATCAGTAAAAAGTGCAATGCTGATAAATTATCGCACGTTGTAACACAATGATTGAGTAGATAAGATAAGAACGGGCATGGGGAAAAGAAGCATCACTAAGCTAAGGTTTCAAGCATAGCTAGTGAAGTTGGGTGACCAAAGTTGATTTCCCCCCCCCCCCCCCCCCCCGAAACAAAGTCATCCTGGCACGACCTGATATGGTCCCCACCAATTTGTTAAAGAGTACTGAAAGGAATTCCAATTGAAACAATTTTTATGAGATTGCAACTTCCAACTCTAACATTTGAAGTCTTTTCCAGGCAATAAAAAGTTGAAACACTCTACTATTAAATTCCCTTGATGTCGCAATACTGTATATATTCATATTATCTATACTGCTGTAATTCATTCCTCCATAATTTTCTCTACAGAGACATAGAGATGAGTTGCTGAAACATTGCTGCAAATGTAGGGAAGATATCACAGTATCAGAAACCCACAAGATGAGTTGAATAACACAAGCATGCGAAACCAGAAAAGGCGCACAAAATGAACATCAAACAGCTCTAGCGAAAGCAGGACAAGAAGTAGAAGTAACTAGATATAAATGCTAATGACATTTAAGCAATTGTTAATACATAACATGGACCAAAATATGAGAGGAAAAGATACCTTATCAAAGCGGCAAGCCTCAAGTGCCGTGAATGTAGAATCAGCAACTTCAGCTGAAACTAAGCTGCATGAATGGACTGCTAAGGCAGTTAAAGCATCAGCTCCAGCCTTGCGTGTTGGCCAATCTGTACTGCTAAGGCAGTCATGAATACTCTGCAGTAACGGTCCCAAGCTTTGTGGGGCAACTGCCCCCACCTGCACATCATTCATTCCTCCTTAGAAGTATGGATTTGGTCCCACTTCATGTAGGGCCACAAAGTCAAGTATTCACTAATCAACATTCTAGGACAAGCCTCACTCACAATGCAAAATAATCATCATTAAATAACTTTACTTCTTAACTTTGGGATTTAACAACATGGATTCTGATTGATTTTGTTTCATACCCTTCACTTCGCTAGATCCATTATACAAAGAACATACAAGTGGGGATCACGACAATATTTAAGGAAGTAACTAAAATCATTTTCACATTCCTTTCCCAAAAAAATTACGTGACACGTATCAGCCTCAACCTAAAAGACAGTCCCTCATTCCCTCCGTCTCATCAACTTTGCAAATAAACAAAAAGAACACTAGATGTCAGATACATATTGGTATCACATCATTAAAACCCGTGAGAAGATGGAGACAGTGTTCAAAAGAGAAGCCTTGGCTCGAAGACTCTTACTACTCAGCACTCTACAAATCCTATGACACAGATTCTTAAATTCTCCTCCTACAGTGTCATTGGTTGCAGGCTTGCAGCACACTCCACCATCTCTGCCACACACATCGCAGCTCCTGATTGTACAACTTCATTATGCTCCCTCAAAGCATCACATAATGGTCCAGCGAATAATTTTACCCTGGCCTTATTGACTACCTCCTGTTTCAAGTATAACCCTGACAAAATCCCAATAGTTCTGCAGCAAGCTTTCCTTATGCTGGGGTCTGGATCTTTCAACATTTTAACAATATGGGTAACGATTCGACTCAAAGTGGGTAATCTTAATTCCAAATGATATTGACAACAAACTGCAAGTAAATTGATAGTTTCCTGCCTGACTATAGGTTTATTAATAGGGTCAGATGAACTGGAATATAGAGCATTGAGAAGTACCGGAAGATCACTAAGACACAGGTTCTGCACAAGGGAATCAAGGTCTTTGGCTGCAATGTTATAGGTATCATTATCAGCAAGTTTAGACAAAGAAGTTACGATCTGCTGCTTGAGGGCAACCTGAGTGAAATGGGCGGGAGAGGGGGCGACAAAGGGGTAGTAAGGACTTTGCAGGTTTACCTCTGTGCTCATGTTGCATGGTTGGAAGAGAAGATGCAAGAAAAATTATCTTTATATGGAAAGAAATGATATATCCATTAACAGGGATCCAAATGAAATTTTAAAGCCAAAAACCATAGAATAATGAGATCAACCAAAACCTCTCCTAAGATGGAAACAGGACACTAGGAGGAAAAGAACATTTATAACCCTGCATGTTTATGTTGTACGTTTAGTAAAAAATTGGAGGTACTTTTGAATAGATTGTCACCTATGATCTAAAGATAAAAGACTATTCCCCGTCTCCAATCTATTAAAGGGTACTTGAGCAGACACCTAAAACATATGAACACATCTGGATATAAGTTCTTCATGACAAAGTCTAAAACCAAGATTCAGCCTTCTGCTTCAGTGCTAACCTAGAACATTTAACAATTAACACGACTAGATCACTAATCAAATATCCACCAGATTGCAACAAATTATGAAACATGATGATAAATTCCTCATTTCCAATCCCTTTAAACAACAGATTGCAACAGATCATGAGACTACATAAGCCACACAGCATCTAACACTCATTTACTAAATGTGCCAGAACTCGTTTTATACGTTCATTATTCACCATCGAAATAACTTCAATGGATATCATCAATTTTAGAATTGAGGGAACCATTAACACCAAAGCCCCCAAATACTTCTAAGCTTACCAACCAAACATGAGAATTTATCAAATCAAGAAGCACTTCAAAACTGGTTGACTTTTAGCTCCAAACAGATCAAAGCACACAGCAGTTTGAATTTCAACAATGGCAATGCTCATACCTGGGACAAATTGGCTACAACACCCAACAGAGCTGCTTTGGCCTGGAAATTCTGTCCATTGAGCAGCTTACAAATCCTGGAACAAAGCTTCTGAAAAGAGGCTACCGGAGCACCACCAGAACCCGCATTGTCCAAGCCAGCAGCGCACTCAATCATTTTAGCCATACAAGAAGAAGCGCCCGCCTGCACGACTTTGTTCTGCTCTCCCATAGCCTCGAACAGCGGCCTGACGAACAACCCCACCACATGCCCCCCGCCGCCGCCGCCATGATTCCCCTCGCCACCACCACCTTCTCCGCCGCCCTTGAGATACAACCCGGACAAAGCACCAATAGCATCGCGGCAAGCATCCCTGACCCCCGAATCGGAATCTTTAAGCCTCTTGACAATGTGGGTAATTATTTTGGCCAAATGGGGGAGCGTCAATTCCCGGTGGGACAGGCAAACGAGGGCGAGCAAGTTCACGGACTCTTTCTTGACGGAGGGTTTGGCAGTGGACTGCTCGGACAAGGTGTCGTAGAGGGAATTGAGGAGCATTGGCAGCGCTTCATGGGAGAGCGTATCGTTGATTGAGTAGAGGTCCTCGAGCGCGATCTGATGCGTGTCCCTGTCAGCGAGCTTGGAGAGGGAAGTGAGGATTCGCTGTTTGAGCTCCACCATGGCCATGTGGGCGGCGAGGGAGGAAGATCTCGAGCTGGATTGTGGAGTTTGGGTTGTGGGTTTAGCATTTCGGGCAGATTTGGCCCCCTGGGAGCTCATTGCTGAACGGAAATCGCTGAAGAGACGGGAGGAAGAAAGAAATGCGGGAACTCGCAGAGATTGCAACAGCAGAGAAATAGAGGAATGCAGGAGCGAGAGGTGGGACTGGAGAATGGAGTGAGAAGGAAGGTTAAAGTTTGGATTTGGTGAGGTGGGCCGTGGGAGCCGGGAGGAGGGCGACGGAAAAGCGAGCTACGATCTCTCGCTTCTTGTGAAAAACTGTTGAGAGAAACAGAGGAAATGAAAGAGAGTAAGAGACAGAGCGGAGTCACAGTCCCAGGAAGGAACAGGAAAAGAGTGGAGAATGGAAATGTGTTAGGTACTTAGGTTTATATAAATTGTAAGTTTGGTCACTGGTTTATTGAAAATATTCATTTTTTATCACCGAAAATATTTAATTCCATTCATGATCACTGAAATTACTTTAATGGTTCAATTTTGGTCACTATCCGTCCAATTTCGTTATTTTTATCTTATGTGGCGGTCAACTCTCATAATTTAATATTAAACAAGTGACATGATAATTAAAAAATCTTATTTAATTTCCACCTCATTTTAATTTCCACCGAAGCCAAATGCTACTATGGGTCGGAACAGGTGATACTCGTGCGGGGTACGGGGCGGGACGGGTCGGTCCACTCTTACATGTTATTTGAGAAAAATACACGCAAAATTTTACTTTTTACGATAAACAGAAGGAAGAAATACTTTACGATGAAAAATAGTGATAATAGCATGGGTGATTAAGTCTAACTAGTTTAAAGATCAAATTTAACTAGTTGAATAAAAGTCAAAATAGGAGACATATGAATATATACTATAAAAATTTGAGATAGAATAGGTATAAAAAAAATGGAGCGAGGCAGAACGGATAAGAAGTAGATACGCATGCCCCACCTCACGCTACTGCCAGTCAGGTAATACCCATCCATCGCGGGACAGGTCGAATAATATCCAACAGGACGGGTTCAAATGGTCATCCGGCATGCATTTGTATAATTGAATTATCTGCGAAAATGTGCTAGTCAAAACTGTATGTGCGTAGATTCCATGTTTAAAGTTTTACCAAATTGAGTTAGAAAGTATGTTGGACATTGAGTAGTAGTATATGTTACTATGTGGAATTAATCACGTGATTGACTTTTGAATTTTGAAGGGTTCAGGTTTTTTTTTAATATAGAGACAAATGAGTGTTAAGACAATCACAAAGTCAGAAGACAGAAAATAACACCGTGCGGAAGTCGACCAACAGTCGAACTTCCAATGAAAGGGCTTGTTTTGCCACAAAATGGGCGGCCCTGTTGAAGCTGCGATGATCATAAGTAAATGAACAGAACTCAAAGGATTTCGCCTTGCGGTTAATGTCCTCCAAGATAGCTCCTCCCATGGCATGGTTCCGCTCCCCAGCCAACACTCATCGGATCACCAATTGGGAGTCCCCAAAAAATTTGACAAATAAAATACCCCGAGTCATACACCAATTCATGGCATCACGAAGCGCCAAGAGTTCCATTATGAAAGGATCTTGAATAGACTCATAAAACTTACCCCACCCAAAAGCAAGTGCGCCTTGTTGATCAAAACCAGCAAAACCAATGCTGCCACCCCTATTTCGCTTGATTCCTCCATCGAAGCGAACTAGGGAAGCTTGGGGGGGGGGGGGGGGCTTGAAAGGATGCGATCGACCTCGATGACAAAACACCCGACAACACAGGGTGATGCAATGGGTTCAGGTTGTTGTCGAAGGCTTTATATATGTAATCTTTATCGTTTTGCAATCTAGGGTTGTTATGTTTCTTATCAACATGGCCATAGTCGCACAAGCGGGAGACAAAGAGTTACGTATCTTATTATTAGTATTTATGAATAGAACAACAGATTTAGTTACTACTTAAAAGATTTGAAATTCGGACATTCAAGTTCAAAGCTAGTGATTTCAGCACTAGCCCAAGCTCTTGCTCGTGGAAAACTATTGCTTTTGACCGGTGTAAAGTGTTGTTATGCTATCAATAAATTGGTATATTACGAATTTTTTTAAACCAAATCAATGGGATCACATTCATTGTAACATATCAGCTTTATATAGTATCCACACAATATATGTACGAAATAGTTGTTTCTAACAATATAATGATTCATTTCAAAAAAAAAAAAACAATATAATGATTACTTTCGAACAAGTAAATTGATCTCAAATACACTTTTAAGAGCCAAATTAATGGTCACAAAATATAACATATGGAAACCATAAATCAATTGGTGTGACAAGAGCTTCATAACCAATACATTTGGTTACTTCAAAGATGATTAAATTAGGTGTGAAGTAGCTAACCAAATTTATTGGTTTTAAATAATTGATTTTGCGACATTCTTATTTAGTCGGTAAAAAATAAATAAATTGACTAGCTTTTATTCTAGGGGTAATACCACTAGAAATACCAACCTTTAGCGAAAGTGTCATATATATTACGACATTGTCGATATGTCATTTGTATACCAACCGTTAAGTTTTCCGTTAGTAGTTAACAGAAAATACAGTCAAGGATGACATGGCTGTTGACCTGTAATTTTTTAATAAAAATCCAGAAGGAAAAAATTGGCACTATCGCCACATAAAAAAATTCCATTATCTCCCCCCAAAATCCCATTTATCTTTCCCCTTTCACCCTCAAAGCTCCATTAACTCCCTGCAAAAAGAGGAACGACCGAGAATACTTGAGGAAGATCGGCTGCTGTGGGAAACGAGAGCAATCATAACCGGATTTCCATCGCTTCAACGGCGCCGTGCTACCGCCGCGTTTGGATGAGGAGAAGAAGCGGATTTTATCGCTCCAACCGCCGTGCTCATCGCTGCGTTCGGAGGAGGAGATGAAGCAGCAGCTCACGACGGCCTTACTTCGCCGGAATCGATCAAGGCTCTACTCTGGTTCTTGTAATCGGACGGAAGCAGAATCGCCGCCAATCTCCCCCGTCGTATCCAACCTCTTCCTAACCCTAATCTTCCGGCTCCTTCAGATCTCAACCTCAAAATCCGGCGACCGCTTCAGATAATCCTTATGTCTCGTTCCACCTGGAGATGATAATTTCCTCCTAGAAAGAGCAGAGCATGAGCGAGAGGCCCGTTGGGAATTCTAGACAAGCTCTATGACGATTCGAAGGGCAGAGCCGCGTTGGGGAGCTCTTTGACGGTTCGACTGCTTGTGAATAAGATATTAAGGATTCAGCGGCGGCGACAGAGTTCTTCCGCGTTGGGGAAGCTCCGGAGGTGCGACCAGCAGACACTCAACTTGCCCAGTTCACGACGGTCGACGGAGACTCCAGCTCATGAGTCGACGGCGGCACTCCAAATTAAACGAAAATTTATTTTCTATAAAAATAATTACTTGTTTAATTATTAAATAATTAAATTAAACATTAAATATTGTTTTCCTACTTGGCATCTAGGTGTCGCATACATGGACGACACATAGGTGCCACATCATCAATGGTCAGACAAAGGTTCATCATTGTTAAGTCAACTGTTAACTTTAACAGTCAACAGAAGTTCGCGTAACACAAATGACGCAAACCCTTAATACGTTGGAATATTTTTGTGTTTATTGAAAGTACGTAATATAAATGACACTTTCGCTAAAGGATGGTATTTCCAATGGTATTATCCCATTATTCTGACCAATTGGATATTTTTCGTAACTATTTTGACAGTTTGTTTTTTTTAATTACCAATTACTTCGGTCACATAACTATTTAATTATTGTGTCTTGTATGGAAAGAAATGGAATTCTGAATTCTGATACGGAAAGGAGAATATTGGATTCCTCAGAGGATGGGCGGCCGAGGTCGAAAGAAGAATCGGGCGGCCGACGGGAAGAATTTGCCGGTGGCGCCGCCGAGGGAAGATCAGAATTGTTTCACCGAGCCGAGGGTTGTTGAAGATCAGAATCGTTTTCCCCCCCAAAAAAGCAAAATTGACGATCAGAATTGGAGAGGTAAGAACCTTTACCAGAGGTGTGTTGGACAGTTGTCGGATTTGGGGGATTCAGGCTTTTAGGGTTCTCGATGAAAACCAGGTCTTCGAAAAATTGGTCGATGAGTACGGCGAGTTCGAATTTCTGTCGCCAAACTGTTGGTTTGCAATTGGGATTACCTCAAGCAAGGTTTCCCACTCGAAATGGATGTCTTCAACTTTGCCGGCAAAGCATACATGGTCGGCGGAAGAGACTACAGGGGGGATTAGAATTAGATCATAATTTCCTTTCTGAAAATTGGGTTACTTGGAAGAATGGGGTAGAACCCAGTCTATGAATTTCCCCAATCCTCCGAATGGAAACCCTCAATGAGCTCCCTGATTCTCTTCGTTTTGCCTAGCCCTATGCGGTCTCCGATTAGTTGCAAAGATCGATGGCAGAGTATACGTCCTCCACGGAGATCATTGCTACATGAAGCCGGCATTGCCGAGCGATTCCCAGCAACTGCTTCGTGGTTTTGGACCAAAAGGATGATGGCTGGCAGCAAGCCTATTGATCAGTGTCGTTGGAGGTCACTTCCTACACCTCCCCTTCTACCAGAAAGACTATCCTAGAGATTCTCTTTGGCAGCAGCATCATCATTGGCAACTGCTGCTATTGGCTTGAATGTTGAAGTTCTGGAAAAGCGCCTGTATAAAAATTCAGAACCTAGCTTCTACCCTGCCATTTTTCATGCCTTCTTCCTCTAGGGTAACCTTTTTTGTCCGTCAAGCTCCCTCCTCCTCTCCTCCAGCTTTCTTCTAATTGCTTGTTGTACTTGATTTATTGTTGTTTAATTCTCTGGTGAATTTGGATGAATCTGATATCTGAGCCGATCAATTTATCAATTTGGTTGTTGCGACTTGCGAGTGCTCTGTCTACGGAGGAATTATTGCATGATTAGTTGTTTCTTTATGGATCACAAGAAACCATGCGAGTCTTTTATTTTTCATTTTTATTGAAATCAACAAATCTAAGCGAGGCGTGAATTTGACCGGTCCTTTTCTTCTTCTCGGTCTAATTGACAGTGGGACTCGGAGAGTAAGAAGACAAATCCGTTTTTTGTATTCTAGCCCGGAGAAGTGCACTCTTTTATAGGGTGGTTTAGCTTTACAAAGCAATCAGCTTTTTGTTCGAGTGAAAGCGTGAATGAACAGAACAATCTTCCATTGCATTATTATCATCAGTTACTTTACCCAGATATCTTCCATGAAGGTGACACTGCTATCTGCCCACACGTGACGAACGTTCCCCCAAGTTCTTCTTACCTATCCTATCAACCGTCCACCTCCAACAACAACAACTCTGTTTTTCTTCTCAACAATTTTGAATTTTCCCATGGAAGAAAACCGGGGTTTCTGATCTTTGGTGGGATTTTGTTCCCTTTTCTCTGCTTGCTTGGGGTCCGATTCACCTACGATCATCTTCTGCAGCCCGAGCCGTTCATTTTGGTTTGTGGGTAAGTTTCCTCTTGACAAAAATCTTATCTTTTCTCTCTTTTTTTGCAGGCTTGTTTTCCGTTTTGGTTTCTGCAGTGCATGTGGTGTTGCTTTATAGTCGGCTGTACATTCATTGTGTCATTGTTAATGGAACGAGCTGCCAATTCGTGTATGATGATTGATCATTGGCGAAGCCGATGGCCTTTTTCCAGATCTAATCATTTGGGGTTTTGACTTATGGTGTTTTCATTTCTCTGATCATGATGAATTTTTGGAGATCTGCTGCAGAAAGGGGTTTTCCATTTTGGGCATTTTTTGTTCTGATCATCTTACAATTAAATGGGTAAAGAATCACGCTTCCTTCTAACTAATTCCTAGTACCTGATGTCTGATGATATTGATAGACCAGTAGGTGGAGCTACCTTATGGTCCTTTTGCAAGTTCAGCTGTTTGAGGGTTCCCCATAGCCATAAGTAGTTCATCTGCTGCTGCTTGTGCAGCCACGTTTAGGTGTCTTACTTATCAAATTCCTGATGGCTGATACAGAGTTACTCAAAATGCACTATGAATGTCTTTTTCAGTGACGGAGTAATGTTGGGGAGAAGATAAGTTCTTGCATGGGACATGTGCACTGAATTGAAATAATTGTTTACTACTTGTTGCAGGTGGGGTTTCAAATCACTCAAGAAGATAGCTGTACATTACCAGCTGAATTAGATTCCAGCCCGGGAGATTTATTCTCGTTCCCGAGTGAGGATCCAAAAGCATAAAAAAAATGGTTCCGAAACTAGAAGCTATCAAGGGTGGTGGTGGATCCGTCAAAGTTGGAGCTACTGGAACAATCAGTGCCCTCATGACAAGGGAGCTCGAGTCCGCCAAATCTTCGCCGCAAACATCGAGTCCTCGTGATCTTAAGATCAGAACCGCTTCTGTTTCAGTTCCATGTAATGTTGTTACCACAACCCCTAGAAGGCTACAAGCAAAAAAGCCAGTGGATGAAGCAAGTACCAGTGGCAGCAGAAGCCCCGAGGCATTGAGGAGAGCGAAACAACAGGCTAAAGGAAGCCATCGAGTGCCTATGCTTGGCTCAGATAATCTCACCATGGACAGAACTCCTAGCAGGGAGAAGAAGAACAACAAGAAGGTGATTAACATAGTCGAAGTTGTGGACATCAAATGTGGTAGCCCTGATAGAGCATGGGCCACCCCTCTAACAAGCAAACTCAAGAAGCTTGGTTTCTCAAAGTTATCCGAGAGCGTGGTCTAGCTAGAGGGCTTGTGACTTCTTGGTGTCGGTTTCCTGGCTCTTATAGCTTAACCCTGAAGCCTGTACAGGTCGGTTTTTGTCAGATACATCAACCATGGAACATATACTTGGCAGTAGCCGGCTGCCTGCTTTCTTTTTCCTCTTTCTAGTTTGCACCACGGATCCAGAGCTGGATCTGGATGGACTAGTACCAGCAGCAGCCGTTCCAGCACCACTGGACTGACCCTTCTCCGAGCTTCCTCGGCTACTTGATTGAAGCTGGCTTAGATACCTGATTTCCTGCAGGATGAGGGAACTGATAGTTCCTTTGGTGCCGATTTCTACTGGATCTTTTGCAGCTTTGTCTTCATAAAACACCTCTGGCTCTAGTGATGGACTCATTGGTGTTTCTTTCTTGGATGGAGAGAAGTGGTACTGGTTCTTGGTGGGGAAGTGCCCTTGCAGTTGTCAGTGAGCTAGTTGTTGAGGCCTTTACATGACATGAATGAATTCCTTGCCTCATGTTCTTTATCTGAAAGAAAGGCAGACAACAAAACTTTTAGATGTTGTTTTTGTCAACATGCTGGTCATTGTAGTAAGTATTCATGTGAACTTTTGCCAACTATGGAAATCATCATGTGAATTTTTGCCAACTTGTATTCATTCGATTTCTACTGGGTTTAGGTGACAATCACCAGCTTAACTTCACTTTCAACTTTCAAGTCACTGTCAAATGTTGATGCAAAGCTCAAGGCCAAGAAACATTTTTAATGGCGGTATGTGTTCGTCCAATTCTGGCAGCCTCGGTGTTTACTTTATCATGCCTTGAAGAAAGTGGCAAGAGAAATAGAAGAATGTCACAGATTCTATGGCCATTTTTTCAAAATTCATTAGTTTCTTCATTATTAAACAAAGCATCCGTAATTTGAATAACTAATTTTTTACGAATAGAAAATATTTTAAATCTTATCGACTCAAGTTTTGGTCTAAATTCAAACACAACAATTTTTACAATTTTCTACTTTTTGCTTTCTATTAATTTCTTTTTATTACTCTTTTGTACGGTTTCATTATCTAATTTATATAGTTTGTGGTATTGGTTTAAATATTTGTATCATATGATTTGTATACCTCGTAATATTAGTTTATATATTTTATGATATGATCCGTACACTTTTATATTTTGATTTTTATACTATCCAGTATTGGTTTGTACACTTTTTATTATGGTTTGTATGTTTTGTATTTCAAGTTTATATACTTCTATTTTATATTTTTATCTGATTAAAAGTAAATAAAAAGGGTCATATAGAAAAGGAAAGAGAAAATGTAAACTTATAATTAAGTAATGAAATTGGCTCATATCTTTCACAACAACAAAACAAAACAAAAAATTGGCTCATATAATAGATTCAGCCAATTTTAATTAAGTAATAAAATATAAATCAGAGGCTGTGATTTAATCCTTACATATCCAACGGCTTCCATTGTGGCTGCCTATAGAAATCGTGAACTCAGATATGAAACCACTGATTGGATAATTGTGAACCACTTGATCCTCCCCCATCATCAACCAACAAATGGCTGATTTGGATTGTGGATCAGCTGATTGATTCATTCCAATGCAATCTACCTTAAGCACATCCTATCCTTTCACTTTCTTACAGCTCTGCTCTCCAGCGATGACGCATTCTTTCCAGTTCTTGAGTGGATAAGGAGGGAGAAGAAGTGAATCCCCGGGAACGCCAAGAAAAGAAAGAGCCGCAGAGAAAATGGCTTCAATCCCATGTACTAGTATCGCCCACCTCCACCGATTCACTTCCAAACATCCCAATCCTCGGCCCTCTGCTCCAAAGCTTGCTTCTTCCTTTCTGGGTTTGCAAAACCGGGGCAGCTGGGTCCGACCCTGCAGTATCGGACCCTCCAATGGCTCCAGAGTGAAGTGCTGGTTTAAGTTCGGCAAGAATGGCGTTGATGCTGAAGGAGCTGGGATCTATGGGAGCCAGGCCCGTGATGACTTTGACAGAGACGATGTCGAGCAGGTCCTCTTTCGTGATTCTCTTGTAGTGAACTTGATTGCTGTTTTACATGCTTGTCTGCTTAGTTTGTTACTGTTTTGCTTCGTTTGTGTACCCAATTTCTCTCTTTCCCCACTGGTGTTGAGCAACAGTGAATGTATGCCGTGGAAAAGTTAGACAGCTCAACTGCAGCAGAAAGCTCTGTTTTGGGAGATAACTTGGGGCCTAGAGTGCTAATTCTTGGAGTTGTTTGGGGTTGTTAGGAGGTCAATTGGACGTGGGAGAGGGATAGGAAATCTTGAACCCTAGGTTAGGTTTGGGGTTGTTTGTGTGAATCGACTACGAACCATGTTTCACAGTCTTTAATCCGATGGGAGAGGGCATTAATACGTGGATCAATAACGTGTAGCTTAGCGCGAATTAGGAGTCTCGCTTCTGAGTATCAGTGCAGGCATTGTGCTAGGAGGATACCAGGGAGCAGATTGGCTCATAGGATGAGAATTGAGGAGGGAGTACATTTTGGAAACCTAGGTGCCATGGCATTCAAAACTGTACCGTGAATAGTTTGTGACGAAGAATGACTATGTTGATCTCAATCGTCAAGTTATTAGTTAGTCTCGTATAAGGCAAAAGTTACCTATGAATCTATGTACTCATGGTGGCTGCTAAATCTGCAGTACTTCAACTACATGGGAATGCTTGCTGTTGAAGGTACCTATGACAAGATGGAAGCACTGTTGAGCCAAAACATCCATCCAGTGGACATATTGTTGATGCTAGCTGCATCTGAGGGCGATAAGCCGAAACTGGAAGAGCTATTAAGAGCAGGAGCAAGTTACAATGTGAAGGATGTAGATGGAAGGACAGCCCTTGATAGAGCTAGTGAGGAGGTCAAGGAATTCATCCTGGGATTCTCAACCCAAAAGGCCTGAGCTTTTTCTACTGATTAGTGTAGTTCATAGCTATTCCCTCCTTTGTGTTTAAAATCGATTTGATTGTAGTATTTTCATGGGAGACTTCATTGTCCTCATTCCGGAGCTTGTAAAATTTGGTCTTGCCAGAGATAACTTTGTCCAAACATCTCCCAGTTCTTGTACAAGCAGAAGTATGTATCGAAAAGGATGCGAGATTAAACGTGGTTCAGCCATTGTGGCCTAACCGAAAAGATGCAGAAGAAGCATATGCCCCGTGACCAACCCTTACCCTACTAATACGAAAATGTCTCAAATGTCATTCTCCGTAACTAAATCAATACATAATTTAGGTTGATGAAATATTCGAGCAATGAAAATGAATGTGATAAACCAAGTTCAACCATTGGCATAACTGGACAGTAATACTGCAAATGGAAAACCCTGCTGCAGGAGACAACTTCATCTATTTTCAAATGAAACTAATAAACTCCAGGTTTCTACCCGGAGGGTGGTTCAGAAGTTTCTTTCAGCATCTGTGAAGTACACTCTCAATGGTTGTAGAGACAACTAAATACATGTGACACTGAACTGCTTTCTCAGACAAAGTTGCTGGGCATCACATTCATAGCAGCTCTAGCATGACCTACACTGTCAAAAAGAAGACGTCGGTAACAGCTACTACCTCTTCTTCTTTCTACCCTTTTCAGACTTGGATGCTCCAGAGCTTGATGTAGATGCAGGTTCCTGCTTCCTGGTTCGTCCTGGATGCCGAGGAACCAGCTCAGCTACACGGAGCATTAGTTCTTTTCCTGCAATACAATGACAACCAACATAAGAAAGAGCACTAAACTGTAGCCATGATCCCAGCTAATGATACTGGGTAGATAGCAGATAGAGCAGTAGCCTGCAAACTATGTTCTGAATAGACTGATAATGAAACTGAGACCAGTCAAGTCCTAACAGTATCTCCGAATAGCAAATAGGCTCATACGTTTAAAACCCATCTCGTCTCAGCAACACAATCATTAGAAGCTGTCAAAACTGAAACTCCTACATTCTAACACATATGAGGCTTCACCCACTGGCACACACAGTTACTACTAGTCAAGGAAGGTATCAGTAACGAGATGAAGCAGCAGCCAGCCTATACGCGACTAATTCGCTAAGTGCAGCCCCCTCGCGCTTAAAGATCGTCAAAACCATGTTCCTAAATAACTACAATTGTTAGGACTTGTGAGATGAGAATTCCCAGTCAAACATACAAATCCAACACTTGCATGACCACTGCTGTAAATGCTAAAACCCCATTCATTGGTACTTACTGGTAGGAATTGAAGGATTGTAGGGCGTTCCATCTTCCCTTTTCAGCAACACTCTCACCCTCCCTCTTTGCATGAAATCCCGTGGATACGCTTTATCAAGCTGCAACGACACCACCATTTCTGAGCCCCAAATCGCTCACCAAACGAGACACCGAAATCAAAAAGATCACAAATTTCGTCAAACAAACCTCTATTGCACAGCGGAGACTGAGGTGCTTGCAGCAATCAGCAATCTCAATACAAGTGGGATTCTCGCAAGCCTTCAGAGCACCGATTCTTCTTCCATCGGCGATGGTCTTCTTGGAGTTTATGTAGACCGGATACACCACAATCCACTTCTTTATGTTATCGGAGCCCTGCTCGTCCATTGCTCGTCTGATCCCAAAACCCTGCAACTATGAAGTTTCGAAGACGAATTAGATCCAGACCAGAAAACAAGAATTGGAGAAGAGGAAGGCATGCTGATCGGATTGAAATCGAGGAAGACAAACCCTAGGAATGCGAGAAGAAACCGCCGCCGGCCCCGATAGCAATTGGTGCAGTTGGTATTAGAGTTCGGGTTATTTACTTGGTCGGCTCCGATCCGATGTCAGTAACTAATTTTCGTTGTTCGATAATTACGCATACGTGCCTAATATTTGGCAAGATCACCAAATGAATCCTATTTTTTTTAAAGAGTATACCATTACGTCCTTTTGTGATACATAGTGCTTTTGTGATCTATAACGAGCTCTATTTGATTAAGCCCAACGTCATTTTCAAGCTTCATACGGCCCGACAGGTAAGACGGCAAATGAGTCGAGCTGCTCGTGAACCGCTCGACGTTCGATTTGAGAAAAATTCGTTCGAACTTGACTTATTTACTTACGTATTGAGCTTGAGTTAATCCTTGTTCAATTTGCGAGGCTCAGGCGGAAGCTCGACTCGGTGACTTGTTAAGATTAACTCGTGAGCTAATTCGTTTAGAGCTCATCGGATGTCTCAAAATTGTGGCTATAGAGTCAACTCGATTATCGGCTTATGAGCGAATCGATCTATATCTTATGAGTTGGATTTTGATAATTCATATGATTGTTAAATTATGTATCGCACCATGTATGACATTGTAGACACTGAGTAAGTGAGCAAAATGTTTAATTTTAAATTTTTTTTTTGAAAAAGAAATATGTATCATAGATTGCTTTGATACTACGAAATAACATGATTTTGGCCAACAATGTGTTGATCTAGTGGTATTACAATTGGTATTCAACTTAGATGTCGCTGATTCGAATTCCTTAAGTAGCATTTAACGATTACAAAACATGATTTGGCTAGTTAAAATTTATGAGCTAGATAATATGATATCAACATAGTATAAAAAGAATTAGTTAATGATGAAACTTTGAATATATTTTTTCATTATCACATCAAATCACATATATCATGCATGACATACAAAATCAATGTATGTACCACGAGTTAAGATTTTAGTAAACAACCCTAACTTAGGTTGAATCAACTCGGTTCGTTAATAAACTAACTGAGCACTAGCTTGATTCTAACGAACCGATCCTAAACCAACCCAAAACCGATCCTTCTACAAAAATGTACTACAGTTCACTTGCTCCAAAATATCAGAGTCAAACGACATGGTGTCAAGGATCATCCAAATGCCCAATTGCTTCTTGATCTCGACTTGTTGTCCCTTACTTCACTTTCTGTCAGTCTCACTTATGAGATTCACAGCTGAATTTTCTCTCAAGAATTTGAGAGCACCGGAAACCAGGCAAGTTACAGATCAACAAGAAGAAGAATCCTGTAACATCACACATTCATTTCTTCTCATAATGGCCAGTGGATCCAAAATAGCGGGAAACCAATCCCATTGAGATGGTTTCTTTGAAGAGGACGAGAACATTTAAATATCCTCATGATGGGTCATAAGCTAGCTCTAACAAACAGTGTCTGTCTAGGCAAGTTACATTTCATTACATATTAAGTGCTTTCCTAACGAACAATTCCCTATCCATTCAAAACATTTTGCTTCCCTACATCACAATCCTCTCTGCACAAATGAACCAATAAGTTAATCCAAGGCATTGGGATCAGAAGAGACTATTCTTGAGGTTTGCACCATCAGTAAGCAAATTGAAAAGAGAATCCTCCTTGCCATCTGCTTCCTTTCCACTATCCCTTGAATGTGCTGGTGTGGTCACGTTCGAAGTCGATGTTGCAGGCCTTTTAACAGCTATGAATGCACCAGCAGCAGATGTAGGAGGTGCAGCAGGTCTTTTCACTGAAACGAATGCCACTTGCCTTGAACTACTGGAGTTTGGTGTAGATGTTTCTGCAGCCGGGGAAGAGCTTGAGGTAGCATTCACATCGCCTCCTTTCCCAGGACTTGCTCGAAAGTCATCCTCCATTTCAATACCATCGCCTTGCTCCTGATGCTCACTCTCTTTCGGAATTGGGGATCCAGCAGCTGTCAAGCCCTCGTCTTTCTTCACGAGAGAAGGGTCTTCTTTGACGGGGTGCTCGACTTCCATCTTTTCAACGTCATCATCATCATCATCATTAATCTCTGAAATAAGAGATCCATAATTAAATCGGTTTAAATGTAAAGTGGCCAATACCCTACTTTCTCATTACATGAGTGATTTTTAGATGTTCTCGAACACATGAGGAGCTTTACCTCTAAGAAATGCCTTAATACTTCGATACCGTATAGCTTTTCTTTCGTTGTTGGCATCTTTGATGGTCTCCTCATCTTCTTTTACCTCAGTTTTCTGTACTCTTTCGAGTAACACAAATTTATCGACTTTCCAAACACACTCTAGGGTGGTAAATTCCTTGTTCGTCGGATAATACTCTCGAAAGACCTGGAAAAGTGGAGAAGAAAAGCAGGTTTCAGTAAAATGACAGTGGCTCGATTGTTATTTTACCATGGAAGTAACTGAAACACAGACAGGGAAGCCAACCTCTATTCCTTTCTGATTTACTTTCACAGACTGCTTATTCTGGGCAATCGAAGATACCGTGTTGGACAGTGAAACAACATCAAGCAATATCTGCAGAAGGAAACAAAACAAGTGCACCATATTATAAATTTTACCAATCAACAGTAAACATGTTCATAGATAGAGGAGATTTGTAACAGCATTTTGTCTTACCAATTGGTCACCTAACAAGTTATAGATTCTCATCATATTTCTTGACATGGAATAAGTAAGAACTTACCTGCTGAACCAAAACTCTAAGGCGTGCAAGCAGTGCCAAAACTGCCAAACAAAACTCCATGAAGAAAGAGCGTGCAAGCAAAATAGATACCTCCCTGTGGAGTAGTCAAGGATACCAATATACTAGAAGAGATTAATGCTATCTCCATAGACGAAAGGACGCTCATTCTCCAATAAACAACTATTTGAGATAGAACTTAATGATAAGTAATTAGTGAAATGACAGGTATGTGCAGCAATACAGCCAATTAGAGTCAGTAAACAAGACGCTTCTGCATCCATTTCAACAACCAAGTAAATTCATCAAACCATGAAAATAAGTCAAGAATGGTAAACTTAGTTATACCCTAGCTAGCAAAACAGGATACGTTGCTGCCTTCAAAATTGGCTCAACCATCTGTAACACAGACAAAAATACGTCAATCAGATTCAGAGTTGAACTCATTACATAAAAAGTTGTGATGCACTTATGGAACTTGATATAGTCCATCTCAGCACAAGAAGACGTCAACAAATCACCTGTGACAGTAAGCGTGCAGCTCCCAGAAGTCTCTCCAAAAAATTGGGTACTCCAGAGTCAGTTTGCCTCCACTTCAAGCTGTGAGACATGGTTCAGTTAGTGATAATTTTAAGCAATGGTACATCATCAACAAATTCATGTAGTTAAACAGCTCTGAGCTTTAATCACAATACCCCTTTTGTGACAAAGAAGGATGCCAAATTGTTAAGGGTATAACAGAGGGTCAGACGATTTTCAAAATCCTATAAGAATAGTATAATGATCAGCTCTTAAGATTCCATGTATGGATAATAATACTGATAACCTTCCGAACCACACGAGAGGAAGAAAAATGAGCAGTTTCTGCATATGCAGACGAAGAAATCCCATAGCTCAATGCTTTCTATTTGGATAATCTTCTCAGGAAAAGAAGTGAACACCAAATTAAGTTCGTTCATCACAAGACTGGCAACTGACTAAAAAACTAGACGTACTCAAAAAGCTTCTCCATTTCCGAATCATCATCCGAAAAGATCAAAGATAAGGGGTCTCCAATTCTGCGGATGGGTGGTAAGAAATACGAAGTAGTACCTCTCTAGCAGATACATCTTTTGCTTGGGTTTCCTGCCAGTGATAACTTGGAAGCAAGAACCCACAAGCTCTTCCAGTTTAGCAGATTGCAACAGCCTCAAATCCCTTCTCACCTAACATCTCCGCCAAGTAAACAACACAAAATCAACCCCCCTTTAATAAGGATACAAAAAAAAAAGAACACCTGGCTATGAACTTCTAACAGTGTCAGAGTCAAGTCGCATGTGTTGCTACTCTGTATTTCCTTAATCAAAAGCCGAAACAGAGAGAGAGAGAGAGCCTGTTTACCTTGAGCAGGTACTGGAAATAGGAGCATCTCCTGTGCTGGTTCTTGTTCTTGTAAACAATCCTCTCAAAAATCCCGCATTCGGCCTGCAGCTGCTCCAGCAAAGACGTCAATTTCTCTTCCAGACCACTTTCAATTTCACTACCCATTCCTTTTTACTTTTCCTTCAACTCCCTATTGCAAAATTAGACAATGAAGCTCCTCACTATAAAGTTAACGGCTTGGAGGGTTATAGGGGTTTTGTTCAAACTGAGACTCCGGTGAAGTGGGACCCGGAATCCGGCGGAATTTTTCCTAAACTAAATACTGATGCCGAATTGATCGGTGAAGATGGTGCGGGTCGAGGTAGAGATATCAGCGACTGGAACGGAGGTTTTATTTTGGGATTTGTCAGACGAGAAGAAGGGTGGATGAAGCTGAGGGTGGAGAGGTTTACATATGGGAATAGAGGAAGAAGAAAAGAATGGATGCTGATCGCCGGTGGCCGAGAGGGATTGCCGGACCCTGGTCGGGAAATTGAAGCGGAGGCAGCTAAAGCTTGCGATGTGTTCAGGAAGAAGAGAAGCACAAAGGAATTTCAGCTGGGGGTTTCCAATGCGGACCGGAGGATTGGGCCTTTGCGCCGACATGAATTAATTAAGTGGCCCAATAATTGGCCCACTAATCGGCTCCATGGAGCTTGGCTAGACAGGCCACGTTGCTTCGACTTGGACAGGCTTTTCGTTGACAGCCTTCTGGGCTTTTAAGCCCTTTCTTTTGATTTAATGGGGCAGGAGAGTTATAACCATGGTCGATGAAACCGTATCGTACCAGCGGTTCAACCACAAAATATCAGCATCGGAGGCTAAACCGGTAGACATTATTTAACGATACTAACAGTTGAACTACGGTTAAATCACGGTTTTGTTATAAAATACCCTACCGCTAACTTTCCCGATACGGTCTCCGGTACGGTTTCACGGACCATGGTTATAACAAACAACGAAAAATACTGAATCGAGCAAACAGAAATTCCTAGCAAACCAACAAGCCAAGATTCTCCCTAAAAAAACCAAGAATTTGTTAAAAAGGTAATCATAATGTATCTTTATAATTCGAGTTGTGGTGAAAGAGGTTTTACATATAAATTATTTTTGTGTATGTTCCTTTAAACGAAAGTAAATTTACAAGGATGAAATTTGCACTGATTTGACATACCATGAAATTAAAGACAACTACAAATGTTGAGGGGTTGTGATAACTTAAACACGTGAAATCACAATTAAACCAGGTCTGATACCATATTACAAATCAATTAGCTATAATTAATAATTCAAGTTATTGAAACATAGTCCATGTATGAATATTAATCACTTTCTTGCAAATAAACCAATAAAGAGCATAAGTGAACCCCAAGTGAACACATGTTGATATAAGTATTATATGGTACATAACTGAACATATCCCAACGGTTCGAGTTAATGGAACCAGTTGGTTGATGACATGTATCATAGCGACAGAGCCTTTTGAATCTCGGTGACCACATTTGTTAAACACATGATATTCTGATGTATGTGCAAATTTCAAACCTTTTCGAGTTGGCTTCCGTTTCAGTGGGTGTGTTAATAAGTGTTATATATGCTAACCAGAGTTTGGCGTGTTGATAATACCACTAATCTCGAACTTGGAGGTCCCAGATTCAAATCATTTCAATATCACCTAACTTAACTATAAAATTAATCATACTTTATTCTTAAAAAAAAGTATTATAATATTTATAATATAATTGAACGTCTTTCAACAAATTGAGTTATTGATACCAACCAAGGTTGTCAACCCGCGGGTTGACCCACGGGTCGACCCAATTTGACCCTGACCCGGTGAGAAAAACGGGCCGCACGCACCCGCCGGGCCGACCGCTATAAGGTACCGGGTTGGAGGTCAAATTGTGTCACTTTTTTCTTTAGTTTGCGAAATGCGCCTATTTTCCAATATTTCTTTTCACCTAACTCAATATTTGGAATACTAAGTTGAACATTTGAATATCTATGTTATATAAGTGTGTGTGAATTTTCACTATATGTTGGATCTAAGTACGATTTGTTATTTTGGTGTAATATTATATGTTATAACTCATATGTTAGATAAGATTTGATATAATTTATGAGGATAAGTACAATATAATGACTCTTTCTATATTTCCGGGCCAAACCGGGCTAAAACGGTTGACCCATTAACCCTTGACCCACTAGCCTGACCGGGTCCGGGTCAACCCGCGGGTTGACAACCTTGATACCAACCCATTTCTGATTAGGCAAAAGACAACTTTCTCTTTCTCATCGTTGTTTGATGCTGCTGTTTGTATCTCTCTTGTTTTCTTCTTCAGCTTTCCTCCTTGGGTAGTGTCTGTCTTTCTAACCTAACAATATACTCTTGGAATAATGCTTTCTTGTAATATAATAACCATTTTTCATCAGTCTATCTGGTTCTCTTATTCGGAGTTTCTGATATAAATAAAAATACAAACAAAGTCATGAACTAGCTTGCTGAACAATAAAAGACACAAAATACCGACTTAGAGAAAGGGACGAGCCGTTGATACACCAACATTATCTCGTTATGATCACATCTTGTACGAGGCGAGGCAGGCTGATTAAAAAGAGGAAAACTTAATTGTTTGCATTAAAAAAACCTCCTTCCTCTAATCTTTCTTCACTGCCTAGTTTTCTTCCTCGACAGATTATTTAATTTTTTTTTTTTGGGAATTCAGTCATTTACTAAATTGGTATGATATCCAAAACAGACGGCTAATGAAAGGTGAGTACAGTCTTGACTTATTGTGTAAAATGACAAAAACTAGCGGCTGGTTGTCGAATTTGGGTTTCTAAATGCACTTACCAAAACGGTGGGATACACAAATTTGGTTTTCATTTAAAGGTGATCAATTTTTTTTTATGTAGAATAGGGTATGACGTGTATACTATTTCTCATCTGTCTCGTTTCACTGTCGGATCGTTTGATCATAATTTGTATCGATATACATTAGTATTTCTACGCTTTTTACTTTTCTAAAATTAAATTTTCATAAAAAATTAGGATTTTATATTTAAACTTTTTACTTGATTATTCATTTTATTATATCGATCTCACGTTCATTTATGATGCGTTCTTTCTTTTGCCTTCTTGTTAAATATTGACTTTCTTTTCTTCAATAACATATAAGAGTATGAGTCGATCTGCCTTGCATCGGACCCGCACGAGTATGATCTCCCCTCTTTTGACTTTTATAAAATCATATTTTTCATCCAATGGAATGTTAAGATTTCATACTCTAACTATTTAGACTGAATTATTCGTTTGATTATATCTCTCGTTCATCTATGAAACGTTTTTCTCTTTGCCTTATTGTAAATGAGTTATACATCTACATTCTTTTTTCCCCAGATAAAATATAAGAATATGAGACGACCTAACCCACACCGTACCCGCACAAATATTACATGACCTGACCCACGTTTAGTACGAGCCATATATGAGTATTGAGATACCCTCCCGTTTTTTGTTTTGTAATTTGTGGAGTAGTGCAGTAAGTTCGGTCACAGTCATGCTCGTACATTTCTAAATCGAGAGTTTTTGGCATCGTTGAAAAAGCACTAATCATCCATGGCTAAACAGTAAACACCTTTTTCTACCGATCGAAAATCGGAATCTCTCGAGTCACGATCATTGACGAACAGAGCAATTACCAACTAGATTAGACCAAAGCCTGCCGGCGATGCTACCTGAATCCACCCATCAATTCTCACCCCATTCCTCTTGTTTTGCATACGTTGGACTCATCCACAGTTCCTCCGGTAGCCATTGTCGGCGAGCGAAAACAGCACAATTCCTCCGGCAGTCCAATCTGTCACCAATTCCGTAGCAGGGTATATATAGATAATACAAAACCAGCTCCAACCCACCTGAAATTACTCCCCTGTTTCACACGTCAACACAGAGGAATCTAATTCTGATCGATGGAGAATCAGGGCATGTTGGCCGGTGCCGGCGACAAGTTGCCCTCCCCGCGGTGGAACGAGTTAGCCGGCGGGATCGAACTAATCCCTTTCCCACCCACCAAGCAGCAGGACGGCTTGCCTGACCAGCCAGCCGCCAACGAAGCTCAATCGGAAACCTCGACGCTCCTCGAGAATCACGAAACAGAGGAGACAGTGGAAATTCTACAGCCGCCGGCATCACCGGCGGCTCTGTCCGTCGAAGATCTCATCAGGATGGCGTCCCTGAAATTCATCCAGTCCCACTCGAAAGACATGCCGTTCGACGTCGCGGCAGCCAGCGTCGATTCTCCCCTCTCGGAGGAGCAATCGGCGAGCGTGGAGCTCGCCGAGCTCCTCCTGGAAGCCGTGGAGAGAGTCGGGGACCGTCGATTCGACGGCGCCAGGACTCTGCTCCAGCAGTGCGACCGCCGGTGTTCCCCGACGGGGAGCCCGATCCAACGGTTGGTGTTTTACTACTCCCGGAGTCTGCGAAATCGGATCAATCGGGAAACTGGTCGAACCGGTTCGGGCGATACGGTAAAAGCGAAAGAGCAGTCGTCCAACCTTTTCAAAGTCATAATGACACCGAGTGTCAGGTCGGTCGAGTTTCAGAGGAGGCTCCCTTTCTCCCAGGTGGCACAATTCGCGGGGATCCAAACGATCTTGGAACACGTGGAGGGCGTTAGGAGGATCCACGTGCTCGACCTGGCGATCAGGAACGGGCACCAATGGACGATCCTGATGCAGGCACTTGCCACGCGGAGAAGGAGCCGCGTGGAGCACCTGAAGATCACGGCCGTGGCGACAATGGGGAAGGAACTCATCGAACAGACCGGGAGGAGGCTCGTGATGTTCGCGCAGACAATGAACCTGGTCTGCAGCTTCAACGTGGTCATGGTCCGCGACCTGGCCGAGCTCAGGCAGGACCACCTCCAGTTCGATTCGGGCGAGACGGTGGTCGTGCTGGCGGACTACGTCGCCAGCACGCTGACCAGCCCCGCAGAGAGGCTCGACGCGCTGATCAAGACGATCCGGCGCGTGAAGCCGTGCGTCATGGTGGTGATGGAGATGGAAGGGAACAGAAACTCGTCCGTGTTCGTGAACCGGTTCGTGGAGTCGCTGTTCTTCGCGGGCGTGTTGTTCGACTGCATAGGGGATTGTATGGTGGGAGACGAGGCGACGAGGAAGTACGGGGAGGAGACGTTGCTGGGGGAGGTGAGCAAGATCGTGATGATGGGGGCGGCAGATGATGATGATGGAGCTGGAGGAGGGGAGGGGAGGGAGTGGATGATCAGGAGCCTGAAGGTGGATGTCTGGAGGGCTTACTTCCGGCGATTTGGGATGGTGGAGACGCAACTGAGCCGGTCGTCGATGTATCAGGCGGAGCTTGTGGCCGAGCAGGTGCCGTGCTGGAGCCCGTGCACGGTGTGGATGGATGGGAAGAGCTTGATCGTTGGGTGGAAGGGTACACCCGTTAAGTCTATTACTGCTTGGAAGTTCAGTTGATCGTTAGTTAGACTCTAATTCCCCCTATTCCCTAGGTAAATATACAATTGATTCAAACTCTTTTTTTTTTTTTTACAAAAGATAATCAATAGATTGAAATCAATAGATCGTTACATCCTGGAATACAGCCAGGCCTGGAAATCAAACAAGCGACAAGCAGACGGGGACAAAGACAGGGCTTTCCTAGCTACCAAATGAGCTACCCTATTGTTCCGCCGACCTACAAATCATACATTCAACCCTATGTTCGAAGCAAAAATATTCACTATCTCCTCCAAAATGGCCCCTATATGACTATCTCGAACATCCTTCCGGCGAATCTTCTCAATTATCACCTGGGCATCACCTTCAAATCTCATGGCAGTGAATCCATTAGCTAAACACCAACCAACCGCCTCCCGGAGGGCCAAAGCTTCCACCATCATTGGTTCTACCAGAGACGGAAAGTGAACCCCCTTTGCAAGGATGACCTCTCTACCAGAATTGAGGATAACCATCCCCCCTGCCGCGTGTGAGCCCAACCTCACCGCCCCATCCCACATACAAATCGTCGTGTCAACTCCATCCGAAATTACGGTCGGGACCTGAGGGCATGGAGGCTGTGAAATCGGGTCACGGGGTAAGTGAAGCCATTCCTGCACTTGCTGGTAGAATTGGCGCATTAAGACATGGATACCGAACTGCTTGCCTTCAAAGACCACCCAATTCCGGGACCGCCAAAACCTCCACAGAACAGCCACTACAGACATTACGAGAGCCGGGTCTTGAATCATACTTAACACATTCTTCAGAAAGAGCGGGAACGTATGGCGAGGCAATCCTTCACCCAAGTGGGTTAGCCCAGAATGATCCCACAATGCACGAGACACCAGACACTCCAAGAAAAAATGTTCCAGCGTTTCCGAAGCCTCCCAGCATACCGGACACCAGGGCATTACAACCACCTTCTTCTCACGCAACGCTTCTGTAGTAGGCAAAATTCTATGAAAGATTTGCCAAACAAACACCCTGAGCTTCGGTGGAATATCCGCCTCCCATAATCTGATCCAGCTTTGCTTATCCATCCAACTTGCCAACGCCCTCCAATGACCCTTCAGCCGATCCATATTCACCGCGACGTAATACGCGGACTTAACCGAGAAAAGGCCATCCGGGGTCGAATGCCAAATCAATTTATCCTCAATATCCTGCCGCGGCAACGGAATGCCCTTAATGGCTTTACAGGTCGTCGGGTCAAACCATTGACTAAGTTTTTGCTCATTCCACCGACCCTCTCCACGCTGGATCACCTCCTCCACCCTCAAACCCTCCCCATCAGGAACCACGCACGGGTTATAGACTGGGAGCCGGGGATGTTGCGAAGGTATCCAACTGGACGTAAGCAGAAGAGCCTTTTGGCCATTCCCAATTTGCCAACGCAACCCTGATTCCAACAATTGTCGACCATATATGATACTTTGCCATCCCCACGACGGACGAGACCGGGCCTGAGCAGACAGAAACGACCCATTCGGGAAATATTTACCTTTGTACACCTGGGCCAGAAGGGACTGGGGTTCCGTAAGGATACGCCAACCAATTTTAGCAAGCAACGCTTGATTGAAAAGCTCAAATCGGCGAAACCCCATGCCCCCTTCATGCTTACTTTTACACATGTTCCTCCAAGAAATCCAACGAATCTTAGATTTCCCCTCTTCCACCCCCCACCAAAAACGGGCTATATGCTTATCAAGAAGGCGGCACAGCGCCAGGTGAAGTTTAAAGCATGACATAACATGCAGAGGCAGGGCTAATGCTACAGATTTAATCAATGTTTCCTTAGCAGCCCATGACAGTGTTCACCGCTTCCACCCCTGCAATCGAGCCAGAAGTTTCTCCTCCAGATAGCGAAAAGTAGCCATCTTTGACCGGGCTATCAGAGAAGGAAGGCCCAAATACTTGTCATGGACTCCCACTGCCCCTACTCCCAATATTTCCCCCAAGAATTCCTGGTCCGGTTCCGCAATATTTTTACTAAAGCACACAGCCGACTTGTCAAGATTCACTCTCTGCCCACTCAACTCCTCGTACTCATTAAGAACCTCGATCAAATTCTCACATTCTTGGAGGGAGCCTCTAAGAAAAAGATAAGAATCATCGGCAAAGAACAAGTGAGAGATACGAGGCGCACGAGGGGCCACCTTAACCCCTTGTAATTTCCCAACCGAAATGGCTTGACGAAGGAGAGCCGCGAACCCTTCCGTACAAATGACAAACAGAAGGGGAGAAAGCGGATCACCCTGCCTGAGCCCTCTAGTGGAGGAAAAAAAACCCAGCTGGGGTCCCATTCATTAAGACCGAGAATGACGTAGATTGGAGGCATTCCTGAACCCATCCTCTCCAGATCGAGTTAAATCCCATTTTTTCCAAAACCCCTAAGAGAAAAGGCCATTCGACTCTATCATAGGCCTTCTCCATATCAACCTTCAGAGCCATATATCCCTTCTTCCCTCGGGTTTTGATTTTCAGGTAATGCATTAACTCATGCCCTAAGAGAATGTTATCAACAATCTGCCTCTCCCGAATAAAAGCATTCTGACCATCAGAAATAATTTGCGGCAATATACCAGCAAGCCTTCCTGCCATGATCTTAGTAATCACCTTATACACAAACTGGCAGAGACTAATCGGACGCAACTGCCGCATAGAGTGGACTTGGTCCACCTTCGGAATCAAAGTCAACCAAGTATGATTAAAACTGCGAAGCATCCTACCGGTTTCAAAAAACGAGCTCACCGCTTGGATCACTGAGTCCCCAACTATATCCCAAAAGGCTTTGAAGAACTTCCCTGTAAACCCATCCGACCCTGGCGCCTGTTTGGATCCCATAGAGAATACAGTTTCCCGTATTTCTGTAGGGAGAACTTCAGCAGTCAGGGTCTCATTCATATCCGGAGTAACACAGGGGTCAATGGGAAGAGCAGCCACTCTCTCACTCATGTTCACCACCCCGTTTTCCGAAGTGAATAGAGTCCGGTAAAAATCGGTGGCAAGTTCAGCCTTACCGTGTTCCTCCGTGATCCACTCACCATCCTCATTGTAAAGACCAGCCACAAAATTCCGCTTTCGCAGAGCCCTAGTGACCGTATGGAAATAGGCTGAATTTTTATCTCCCTTTTTTAGCCAAGTAACACGGGATTTTTGCTGCCAGTACACTTCCTCAGCATCCCATTGTCTACTCAGTTCAGTCTCCAACCTGGTCACCTCTTCCCAGTCAATAGGGTGGAAGGCTTTTAGCCGATCAATTTCGCCTTGCAATGTGTGAATATTTCTCAGAGAATTAGTGGTTCCCGCTCTGCTCCAATCATACAGCAAATGACGCAATTTTTTCAGCTTTTCCCATAGCTGGAACATTGGGGTACCAGAAATATTTTCTTGCCAAACGTAAGCGACCATAGCCTTGACTTCAGGATTAGAGGCCCACCGCGCATCGAATCGAAAAAGAGGGCGGCAACTTCGCGTATAGGGTTTATCAGAGAGAAGCAGGGCTCTATGATCAGAACCCTGGTCCGTGAAGTGCTTGACAAGAGTCTCTGGATACCGATCTATCCAACTTTGCGAGCAGAGGGCTCTGTCAAGTCTTGCACGAATAGAGGCCAACCCATACGTTTATTAGTCCAAGTGTAAGGGTCCCCCTGAAACCCAGGATCATGCAACCCTACCATTTGAATAAGGTTTCGAAGATCCAAGGATTGACTAGCATTCCAAGGATTTCCTCAATCCTTTTCATTTTCGCAAAGGGTAGCGTTAAAGTCTCCTAGAATCACAAAGGGAACAGTAAGGCCCTCACAAATCTCGCGCAACTGGTTCAATTGTTGGGCTCGTCTCGCAATATTGCAGCTCAAATATACGCAGACAGCAACATAAGAAAATCCGTTCTCATTAGTACGAGTACAAATGCAAAAATTAGAATGAAAAAACACTGAAGCCTCAACTTCAGGGGACCCACCCACTACAAGACCACCAGAACCATCAACAGCATCAACAAAGAAACAATGACTTGACTCAAACCCTAACCCCCGCATTCTACGGGAAACGACTCTCCGGCACGATCTTGTTTCTGAGAAGAAGACAAGGTCCGGTTTATTCGACCGAATTAACCCTACTGCTGTCTGGAATGTGAGGGATGATCCAATTCCTCTCACATTCCAACCCAAAATCCTCATTTATCTGCTTGGGGCCACTCATGGCTGGCTTCCTCCACCAAAGCATTTCCCGATTCTTCATCCACAAATTGTTTTTTGGGAGTGGGTGACTCCCCAATCTCCCCATCCACCTCATCCAGAGCACGCTTCCTGTTCTCATCCACCATATTGGATCCATATTCGTTCAGCTTCCTAATCATTTCCCCTTCACCAGAGACCAAGGGATCCTTATCTTCATTGATCGCCAAGTTGGCCTCAAATGCAGCCACCACTTGTTTCACTTGACCCGCTTGAGCCTGCTGATCCGGAGTATCGAGGGCCAAGCGCTTCTTAATTTCATATCGTTGACCTTCATCCTCAGAGAGAGAGGTCTCGGACTCCACCTGTTCATCGGCAGCTATCTCCAAAGGCGCCTTCCCATTAGTTTGGTTGGGCTTTGCTCCAATCTGGGGCTCACAATCCCCCCCCCCCTCCAATACCTCGGCGGGTTCCAAAACAGCCGCCTTCCCCTTAAGCTTTGAAAGCCGAGGGCCATTCTGGAGATCAGCTTCACCAACCATTGCTGGGTCGGCACTCTTAAGGGAAACTTTCACCGTCCCTTTCTTTTTCTGGGACGCCTTCTTTCTAGTAGGCGCAGCACCCACCCGGCTCTTGGAGGCCGCCTTTACCTTCGCTGGGGACGAGGTCGATCGAGAAGGCTTGCTTGCTTCCACTTTTACCAGCCGTCTCCCCTTCCTCTTCCCAGCAGGTTCCGCCTTTTCACACGGGACGGGAACAGTAGGAATAATAACCTCACCATCAGAGTCCTCGAGAAGG